TCATACCGCTGAAGTGGCAGTAGTGTTCATACATTGACATCGACATTCGTAATATTTCTTTCCCTTGTTCAGTGCAACCAGTTTCTGATGACAACTCTTCGTATGCAAGGCCAAGCTTATAAACTGCACAAACAAAGACAAAGAACTCCTCTCGGCTTTTCAACGACTGCAGGTCTTTGTGAGCTTGAATGCTGTCTTTGAAATCTTGAATGGAAACAATCAGACAGTTTTTCCTTGTAGCTCCACATGGAATCACTTTTGAGTAATGCAACAAACGTTCCCCGGCCTGACACTAAATGGGACACAAAATAGAGTATTGCTATCAAAATAACTCTCACCATAGTCACCTGTTTGTGCAAACCTCTTCCTGAAAGGAATTAAATGTGCAAAGAGAAAACAATTCACGTGGTAGCAGGGGCTTGACGCGATACTCACCCGAAATGGATGTGTATCGTCGCCGAAATTAACACAAACACCGACAGAACTAGTAACACTTAAACAAATATTAGAGCTTATACGATACATTTGTAATGATACTTATACACTTTTAACAAAGTAAACATTTCCACGAATAAAAATAAATCGAATTCTTTATGAGCAAACGGAAAACGATGTCGGATTAAAGAGTGAGCTGAAAATAGATTTGCACCGGACATCACCAGCCTCCCAACTCTTAGCAGTGATGGGCACGCGCTAGTTTCCAAGGGTCCCAACCCTTTCCTCCTCAAGGCTCATTTCTTCCTCAACTTAGCTATAGCTTTGGTATTTGGGAATAACGGGTCTGGATTATATTTGATTACAACTTTTCTCTTCAATGTTTTCACGGACATTGAGTAGAAAGAAAAGGAAGAGGCGAAGGGGAGAAAGACGCACCTGGGCACTGAAAGTTTGGACTAATATTTAACTCGATTCATCAGAAAATGCTGTAATACACTTCAAAGCTATCACAACAGTTCACAAAATAATCTCTTCTATGGAATATACAAGAACCTTTTCATTACTCCTACTAAACGCTTGACTCAACGGATGCACTGTAAGGTACTTAATACACTTACCTTATGTCTGGCATAAAACAGTGGCGTGTATTGTGATCTTCTAGCAGCTTCGCAAGCGCAGTAATAGGCTTGAAGCAATGGATGGGAGGCTGTGAGACCATACATGTGACAAACAGGAAGATACTCAGTTACACTCATTAGCTGAAGGCAGTTACCGAGAATAGCAAGGCTGGAGGAGATTCCTTTTGTATCTGGAATTGGAAGTGAGCTAATTGAAAGGAATAAGAAAACAGAGAAATTTAAAGTCTATTGATGAAAACACATTCAAACAGACCAAAAACCAATTATATTTGACTGGGTAACGAGAAGGTATTTCAGTTTTTTTTTTCACTTTGGACAATTTTGGGATTTTTACTCAACACAAAAGGATAATTTGCAATCACTGTGAACTGTGCTTACATACAAATAAAAATAGGAATATTCAAGGTTAAATAGGATTCCTTTTCCGCTCTGCTCCCCGTGACATGATTCTAGATATCCATATGGCGATTAAAATCAGTCTTTTCTGACGGGTGAATCCAGGCATACCTGAACAAAACCACGGAATCCATCAAATGCTTTGCCCCTCTCGTCCATTGCCCCAGGTTGTACTGAATATCACCTTTGATTTGAAAGCACACTGCCCTCACAAGTTGACGATCATGTTCCGTCTGGTAAATCCATTTACCGATTTGTGCCTTCTGATCTAGGAGATCGTCAAGAGCTTTCTCTGCACCTAAAGGGACAAGGACAAACTGTTGATTACTCGGGGTGTATTACTCCATATTTACTCCGGCCAGATGGACGCAATGCCTTACCGTATGAATCAAGGAATATTTGGGCTACTCCTATGGTAACACTGCGTGGTATTATTTGACAAGACAAAGGCCGCTTAAAATAAAAATGTTGGTGCAACAGAAAATCACTGATCGAATACGAGGCTGATGCTTGAAAAGTAAAAATGCGAAGATTTCCTTTACTCATTGCACTTGATACCCAATTAATTTATTGGAATGGTGCTTGGTTATTATCTGTTTACTAGCTTCTTTTTCTTTACCAAAGACAGGATCTACTACCAAACATCTTCTTAAATCCTTTTGGAAGCTACCTCGAAATCAGGTAAGGTGTTTCTGGCCGTAACTTAAAATAGGGAATTTCAATTTACCAACAAGTAGCCTATTTTCACAACAATAACTTTCCAAAAATAAACTTACAGATACCTTGTAGGTTTCCTGCGTTTTTCATAATTCTCACATTTCTTATCAGTAACTGAGGTGCAATGGGTATGTCAGGACTATTGGTCTTCAAATATTCAACAAATTGTAGAGTCCTATTAGACATTCCTTGCCAATAAGTGAATCTGTCCATAACAAACACTAATGCTCCCACAGTTCGGTACTTCTTCTCTTTCATTGCATGGAACAAGCACTCCTGCGAGAAGAAAGAAAAATAATATAAGCAAGGGTTGATAAATAAACACAAACTCAGCTCCAGATAAGCTTTCACGGCCTCCTTAAATACAACAATCCTATGGCTTATGACCATCCCCATGACTTATGACCATCTCCGTGGAAACGGCGAAATCGCAACCAAGTGATTGCTTTGTCGTGCTTGCAGTAAAATACGCTGCATGTAATGTTCACTTCCAGCCAAGTGATCTAAAAGCACTTCCGGTCACATAACAAGCGGAGTGAGCACTGGGAAGCTACCCTTAGGGTTTTTCTTTTGTTCTTTGATTTATGTATTTGTCCAGTTCATTTAATTTGGAGACAAGGTGATTTTGGTTACAAGTCGACATTTCTGATCTTCAAGCCGTCTAACACATTTCATAAGAGAACACAGCTGTGGGATTCAAAACCGCAAATAATAATTGGAATGCACCAAATGTGCGAAATGAATTGGTCAAATTCAAACAATAATGCCACCTGTTTATCAGTGGGCCATACTAAAAGAAGTCGGAGAAAAATTATTTTATTTTTATAGATTGACATTCAAGGATTAGAAACCTGAAACAGCTGGGCCTTGGAAAATGCAGAGAGTCGCACAAAACCTACGAAAACTTAGGATCGATTTGAAACGCACGTGACTCACAAGTGCGCCCGGTCGTACATGCTCAACCATACATACCACTGGGTCAGCATGACGACATAATGAAACGGGGTGGCTGATATGGAATCTTAAGGTATAACAGAAAGTAAACCAACCGCCTAAGTCAGCAGTTTGGTGTACCACGGAAATCCAAATGGTAAACTGTGAAAATGCCTCAACGCTACAGATCTATACAAAGCTACTTCCTGAGAGCATCCATGATCCCAACCCCCTAAGAGCTTCTCCCAAATAGCTGGTGCCAATTTTCTCTCCCTTGTGGATGCCAAATGTCGCTAATAGATATTTGCACTCGATAAAGAACCAAGCCACCCATCCACCCTCAGTTCCCCATCTGGCTGCTAATGGGACTGCTGATGGTATTGTTAGTTAAGGGATGTCAGGAGGGGAGTACGACAAGCACATGCATCAGATGTTGGTCAAGTGTAGAACCACTGGCTGACCCTCACCAGCCCCTTGACATTAACTGTAAACAAAAAATGCAAACCGTTGTCTCACAGACTTGTAAGACTCACTTTAACAGCTCAGAGTCTGGTGCCCCATAACATTGCAAGTAACCCCTTAATTAGTTAGAACATCAAGCAATTCTAGCCCATCATGACCACCGTTACCAGACCACTACTTTGCTTCTTGTGTTCACAAATCAAATTTGCCGTTGAAATTGCATAATTGGAGCTACGAAGACGTCTCGACTGGGTCCACCAGCACTACTGCTACCACTGCTAATTTTTCCTCCGCCGTTCTATGTTCCTTATGGTTTATGAATAGCTGGTGCCGCGCCATACAAGTTAAGGATACTAATTTTGAAAAGACACTTGCCGCCGCACTTGCCACCGCACTTTCCATAAGTCTGACCAAACACCTGGCACTATTTATCTTGAGTGAAATGGTCTTCCTACCCACAACTGAAGCACATCATAGTGACCATATGGACAAACATCTCAGGGGGAACGGCCACATCAAGAACATCAGGGGAATGCTGCATCACTTTCTCAGTTCTCAGGAAACAATTATCAGAGGCTTTCTGATTCTCTCCAAACTCAACTTCCCTTGTGTTTTACCCTTCACCCTTAACCCTAACCAATTTCTGACTCACTGCTTGCATTGTGCTCAATTAACTAATGCAAGCTTTTCTTCCTGGCCACCATATTAAGAATTACCTCTAATCAGCAAAAGGCAAGATTACCAGCTCCTTATGTTTCAAAGCAACAGCAACACATGTCTAGACTATCTTCCTTAGGTGAAACAGCAATGAATCATGAAATAACGCTCAAACAGGTTGATTAGACTGGTGGTTGCCTCTGAAGGAAAAACTTCCGAGGACAAGGCATCAGGGCTATTCAGCACTCTCTTTCAATGTTTGGGAGCTGAAACTATAAACCTAATTCTAATACACTTCTAAAATCTTTTGTATGTTATTCAATAGATGTACACTAAGATGTGATATGTTAGCTTGTCTATAACAGCTTTTTGTACATCTAAGTGATTTATTTTGTATTTAATATAGTGTTATTCATAGTTTGGCAGAGGAGAGTCATCTAGTGGAATTGTTCAATACACAATTGTCTCACAAAGGGAAATTCACTTTGGGGACAAAATAATCCTTTAACATCATAGTTATAGCTTGACTTCATCAATATGCAAATATGAGATCAACTTTTGGAATGTCAATTCTGGCAACCTGTAATTGTAGAGCTTGCTTCAATGTATTGTTTCAAACCTCTTCTCCTTTCAAGTGCAAATTAAATGCTCTTTCTCTTTTTACTCTTAACTTGAATTATGTGCTTCTCTCTTCATGTAAAATGTTACAAATCCACCAAAATCTGGAGTAACCAATTTCTTTCCACTGTTGACAAGCACACCAAATGATGCAATAGTTTGCCTGATCCACCATCTTCTGCCACCACCAAAATAAAACCTTGCCAAAGTCCAGCACAAAGTACTCTACAAAATCTTGAGTAATTATAATAAAAATAATAATAATAAATTGTTTGTTATTCTCTATTGCAATTGAAAAACCTGACTTACAGAAATAAAATACAACCTTCAAATATTTACCCTATTTAACAATATTATATGTATATACTACTACTTTTAGCATTTACACACTGCATTCTTAATTTAAGGCAATAAATGAGCCACAACACTTCATACGGCTCATGTTCCAGTTGCTACACGCCAGAGTATTACTGGTCGTCTTGAGATTGTAGTCATGAGTGTGACCTCTACTACTATGTAGTAAATGTGATTTGGGTGACTACTATTTTCCTGGTAAGTACATCCTTGTAAATAGATTTTAAATACTTGACATCATCCTTGAAACAATTGACAGAAAGCATTGAAATCCTCATTAATATAGTAATCCAGGGTTTTGTTAAAAGACCATTAAAAATCAAATAATGCAAAATAACTCTGAACAACTTTCTACAAGTTGTTGTTATATATGAACCATTTTAACTGACTGCATTTGATCATAAAACATACGGCTGGAATATAAACAGTTCAATGTTTTTGACACTGCAACAAAATTGAGTCTCTTTCAGGGTGAAGGTAGACTTGTGTAAAGTTTTATAGTTCTATAACAGGGTTAAAAAATTTACAAAATACCCACCTCCATAATGTCAAGTTCATTTAAGAGCGGAGCAGTAGAATTCTTAGCTGTAAGTAGATCCTTAATATTGTACCTCTCTTCTGGTCCAACACTGGAAGAGTATTGCCTGTAAGAAAAATTTACATTGAATAACATTTCAAATAGTGGTTCACTAGAAATGCTTACATTGGAGCATTTAAAAGAAACTGTACCTCAATAAACGAGGGAATTTTAACCATGTTGAATGTGCACAAGCTTATTCTTCAAGCATGAGCCTTTGCTGGGTACACAGTGGGGAACTTTGTCTGGTGTTTGTGTAAAAATATTAGGTACAAAGCTCTGCTAATAACTAATAATATTGATTGAGGGAGATAAACATGGACTTAATTTAATTTGAAAGATTATTCTTAGTTTTATTTGAGTGGTTCTTTCTATGAATTGCTTCATGGCTTGTGTAAGGGGTAGACAGCTACCCCACCCCAGCCCCCTGAGTACTTTAGTCACGTGACCATCACACCACATTCTCGTAACTAATTTACATGAATTGTTTAGCAGCAAGAGGGGAGAATTCACAATCAAATCTTGGGAGTGAAAGGGTTAAAGATAGATGTTATTGTTTTAGGATAGCTGGTACCTGTAAGAATGGGATAGCTCAATAAGAGTTTGCTTTCCCAGTAAATGGGATTATAAAATTGGCAAAAATGAGGGAAGTTGGACATTTTCACTGGCCAAGTTTTCAGTTATTCAGCTTTATGATGGTTCTCTCTGAGTATTTCTTCTCTCTTGCTTGGGTCTTGGCCCACATAAGGATTACTGAAATGCAGTTATGTTCATGCCCTGCCACTGCTCAGCATGAGGGTGGGTACCCTGTAGTGAGAAGGTAGTTGAGTGTCCAAAGCAGCAGGCTTGTGTGATATAAAATGTAACAGGTTTACTTTCCACCCCTAGTCAGTCACAATGTATCTCACGTGACTGAGCACATGGAACAATGACTTGGAGTTGTCAGCCATCTTTTAACGAGTGTTAATACATGGTGTCAGGAAGAGGTTCTTTTCCACGCCGAAAAACAAGCTATCAAGCTAACAGCTGACTGGAAATAGAACACAGAATTCCCGGAGATTGTGAAAACAGCCACAATGGCGAAATTCAAACCTCCGGAGATATCGTGGACCGTTCAAGATTTGCATCAAGAATGGCGCCGTTTCAGCCGACAAGCACAACGCATTCTTGACGGCCCGTTGCATAAGAAAGAAGAGAACGAGCACGTGAGCTACCTGAAGCTGTGGGTAGGCGATAAAGGGTTGAATGTATTCGAAGGATTCACATTCCCAAAACCCGAAGATACCGCGAAATTGAAGGTCGTACCGAAGAGATTCGAAGAATATTGTGCGCCACGCAAAAACCACATAATGGCTGCTTTGAGATTTAACGAAAGACGTCAGGGAGACAATGAGGGCTTCGACTCGTTTTTTACAGAGCTGAAAATTCTAGTTAAGGATTGTGGCTATCAAGAGGAAGAACGTATGGTTCGAGACGCGATCGTTTTTCGTTGTAAACATTCCAAAGTGCGTGAGAAATGCCTGGATCAAGCAGACACGCTGACATGTGAAAAGGCCATCGAAATCAGTCAAAATCAGGAAAAATGTCCGCCCTGGAATCGTCAGAAGCGTTCAAATAAAAGCAAAAGGAAAACCGAGAAGTCCGCCGAAGCGGAGGAGGTCGAATCGAAATACAAATGCGGACTGTGTGGTTATGACAAAGCCCACAAGAAATGTCCCGCAATGGGGTAACAGTATAGACACTGCAAAAAGATGAATCATTTCTCAAAACTCTGTTTATCCAAGGAGGTCCATTCAGTAGTAGCCGACTCCGACCAGGAAACAGAAGGGGACTCCGACCAAGAAGAAAGCGAAGATGACTCGCTGTTTGTTTACTCAGTTAAGTTAAGCCGTGTTCCAGAAGACGAGCAGTTTTATGAAGTTATTTTAGTGGAAGATACTGAAGTTCGCTTCCAGCTAGATATTAGTGCAAAGGCTATTGCTATGTCACCGAAGACCTAAGACAATCACAGGCGAAGACCACCGCTGACAAAGACGAACACTATGTTGATTTCCCTCTCAAAGCACAGACTAACACCTTGCGCAGAAGTGGTGTTGAAGCGAAAAATACAAAGATAATGTCGAAGAGGTCAAGTTCTTTGTTGTAGAACCCGAAGTGGAATTAGTGCTTAATGGAAACATCTGTGTCAAACTTGGCCTACTAAAGAGAGTTCACCAGCTGACCAGCGACACACCACCTGCAAGAACGGTGGAGTTAGATGACTATCCAGAGTTGTTCAAAGGATTAGGATGCTTGCCTGGGACATATCGCATTGAACTGGCTGATAGTGCTGCCCCTGTTGTACATTCCCCAAAGAAGATACCAATACCTCAGCGAGAGAAAGTTGTTGAAGAACTGAAAAGGATGAAAAAGCTCGGAGTTATTGTGCGCCAAGAGGAACCGACAGAGTGGGTGAACTCACTAGTAGTAGTTTAGAAGTCCAATGGTTCAGTGAGATTGTGCATTGATCCTAGAGATTTAAATGCTGCCATGAAGAGGTCTCACTACCGTATGAAAACTGTTGATGAAGTTGCTAGCCGTCTTCAAGGTGCTCATACTTTCAGCATCCTAGATGCCAAAAGTGGCTTCTGGCAGTTAAAGTTAGATGAAGAGTCCTCGCCTCCATGCACCTTTAACACTCCAATTGGTCGTTACAGGTTCACAAGGCTGCCCTTCGGCGTAAAGTGTGCCCCGGAAATCTTCCAAAGAACCATGGCCCAGATGGTTGAAGACCTGGATGGTGTTGAGGTCATAATGGATGACGTAATCGGCGCGGAAGATGAAACAACACATGATGAACGATTGCAGTAATTTCTGGAAAGAGCATCAAAAAAGGGCTTAAAACTAAACAATAATAATAGTAATAATAATAACAAAAATAAAAAATTATGTAATAATCACGCTGTGAACACCACAGTCTTCGCGCTCCGTAAAAATTTGTTCTAAAACACTCTTGAAATGTGTTTTTTGGAAATTTATTCCATCTTAATGGCAGTTAACATCAACTACAACCTATCGCCCGCTCAAAGTGACTCAAGAAATACAATTCTTTGCAAAGTGAGTGCGGAAAGAATCCAACATGGTTGGACAAGATGGACGGAGCAAATGTGCATTGATTTATTAACTTGTAAAGATAAAGCTAGACAACAACACACATCGAAAGAATGACCTACTAATGAAAAAGGAAGAAAGAATGGAATCATGCTGTCAACGTTAAAGTTTTGGAACGAGAAGGGATACAAATCTTGGAAAAACAGCACAAATTTTTAAGGGAAAAATTAACACATCTAAATAAAACTTGAAAGGTATGTGCACTACGCATAACAAATGAGCTACAAGAACAAAGAGAAACCAGGAAACAAAGACCAAACAATAAAGAGACAGAAATCGAAGATCAAACAAGTGAACAACAACAAAGCAGTGACTGGACAGTTGAAGATTTGTATCCCAAATAACGCAAGCAGCCAAGTGTATCTACGATGGCATTGTGAAAGATACTGGGACTGAATAAGTAGGATGTAAACACCAAAACTAGCGGGAAACCGCGATGGATGATTAACATAGAGAGAAAAATTAACAATCTTCAAAAACAAATTTCTCAGATATGCAAAGAATTAAAGAGAATACGCAATAATCATCAACTAACGTCGAGAATGAAGAAAAACAGATCCTAAATAATTAAAGACATTTAAGGAAGAATAACCATCGCAAATTTGACAAATTTAAAGGAAAGAAAGATTAACACCATCAGAGCCCTGAAAAGACAGAAGGAAAGATAGAAGACAGCCTATGAGAGATTCAAGACCAACCAGTGGTTTGATGTCGATGAAAGTTCGTTCTACAGCCATTTAAATAACATCGTCAAATCGTTGGAAACAAACCAACAGCCACAATATATAGGTAAAGAAAAGCCATCTTCTGCTACTCAAGAAACCACCCCCACTGCAGCAACAACAATAACAGAAGAATTTAAAGTATTCTGGAGACCAATATGGGAGAGTGCAAGCGAAGTACCTATTGAGGCAGATTGGATAAAGGATACTGAAACAGCCCTTAAAAAACACTAAACACCTAAGTGATCTAATGAAGATGACGAAAGAAATGATCACCAACAGCATTAAAAACAAGATAAACTGGTCTTTGCCAGGTAAAGACAAAATCACTAACTATTGGATAAAGAAAATGGATACCATTGATGGAGACATCACAACAGCTCTGAACACCATACTTACTGAGAGACTAGAGATACCAGCTTGGCTTATGATAGGAAGAAGTGTTATGATTCGGAAGAGAGACGACCCTTCCGCTTCTGACCATCGACCAATAAACTGTTTAAACACCCTATATAGGCTCATCACGTCAGTGATTGACCACCATCTACCAGTGCACGAGGACAAGTACAATCTAATGCAAATTGATCAAAGAGGAGGCAAAATAAAATCAATGGGCACCGTAGACAACCTGCTGATTGATAAGATGATATAAGGAGACGCCCACTTTCACAAGAAGAACCTACCTTGTTCCTGGGTAGACGTGAAAAATGCATTCGACTCTGTCCCGCACCAGTGGATCGCCAAAACTCTTGAAATGCACGACATAAATGCAGACCTCATCCATCAAGGCAAAGAAACCATTGGCCCCTTCAAAGTCTTTCTGTGTGCGACTTTTCACTCCATCACTTAACCAATTGCATGGTAACTTAGGAGTACCAAAGGATATCAACTATCACATGCCCCACACGGAAAAATCACCTATGCCCTTTTTGTTGATTACTTGAAAACTTGCCATCAATATGAACAAAAGGCAGTAACTGTGATAAGCAAGCTGAAGAAGATGTTTGCAGACTTTGGTTTAGAATGGGGAATCAACAAGTGTGCTGCAACGCATATGAAGCAAGGAACACTAGCAATCAACGACAACTCCACTGAAATGCCTGTAAGTAACAACTGCTTTATCCCATTATAGGCAATGAAGATCATTATAAATTCCTAGGAAAGTACTAGAACACTCGGCATTTAGAGAATAAAGTTATTGAAGAAGCTTCCAAGGAGTGAAAGAATCGACTTTGGGCAGTTTGGACTTCTCCATTGTCAATACCACGCAAAGTCCGTACCACTAAAGTTTATGCTGTACCTGTCTAACAGTACTGTATGTGGACCACCAACTGGCGCCTCAATCTCCTCGAAGAACTCGACTGACTAACAAGGAAAGTTATCAGTGACTGTAGCAAAAAACACAAGTATAAATTAACACCATCACTTTACTTACAGCCAGAAAAAAGGAGGGAAAGGATGAGTCGAATTAGAAAAGTTATACAAGAACACCAAGTTGAAAATAGCCCACTACATCAACAATTCTAAAGACCAACACATCAAACTCGTAAAGTCATAGCAGCTGAAAAAAGAACAAAGTCATTTAAGATCCATATTTAAAGATGCCAAAAAGTAAGTAGAAGAACTAAGCATAGACTGTAATTTTGATTATAGCGCCACAGTCTTGTGCATACTTAGACCAAGATAAATAACTGAACATGTAATTTGGGCCGAAAGTAACAAGGCTAACACTTGAACATTCCCAGAAATGGGTTATTTCACAGAACTGTGAAACTGTAAAGGGATTTTCGTGTAACCAATAAATACAGTGATATAATAGTTGACAGAATAGATTTTAGCTTTATATACTGAGCCTCTTAAGTGCGTGAACAATGAGAATTTTTAGTATATTTATCTCATTCAAGAGTGTATTTTTTGTTACTTTTCACTATGTTAGATTTATATAGACTTATACAGCGCGTACATAAAATTCCAAGGGAATACACCTAATGTATGAAAATTTGGCATTAATCTTTGTTTGGAACCAAAGAAGTTTGGTCATGCTGCATCAAACAGGTCACACACCTCATTCAACTTGTCTCAGAAAGGACGAGCGGTAGTAGAGACATTGGCTGTTCATTTCTAATCAATAATTCCTAACAAATGCTGCAGAAATCTGTCAGCATTCCCCAATTGGAGTTGTCTGCGGTATGAGTAGCCACAAGACTGAATCAAATAATCCATCATGGATTATACGTATTATCTGGCAATTCTTACTTTTGGACAGATAGCACATTCGTGTTAAGGTAAATTGCCAATACTAAGCTTTCAATGTTAAAAGGGTCAGGCTATTCATGAGGGTTCACAGCTAGAGCAGTGGGAGTGTGTAGATACAGGATCGAACCACTGCGGGCAATGTATGAAAAGGACTGTCAGCAGAAGACCTAATTTCCAATAATGAAAAATGCCTTCTATCACAGCCAATCAGCATTAAGTAAACAGGAAATCTTTAATTTTTCTGTAGCATAGTAGTCTTGCATTTAGTTAGGAAAGGGGTACCTAATGGATTAACAAAACTTTTGAAGTGATAGTTTAAATTTACTGCTTTGTGAGGTATTGGAGATTTCTTGCCGAGTAATAATTAGCTGCTCAAGGAAGACGACATTAAACTGGTTAAAAGGTCTCTTAAGTCGGTGAAGACAGTTTAACACTACTCAACAGTCAGCAATAAATATAAATTAATTTTAACGGCTACCACGCCTTTGCCACCAGGCATTGATTCACAGTAAGCTTGTTTCGTGTTAAATGTGTTTAACCGCAATAATGACATTACTGTTTGTCCATTAGGGACGTGATCTTTAAGTTCCACCCAGAACCGCATTTTAGTTAGTTGTCTTACTTTGGGCTAACGATAAGACGTGTTTATCGGAAGAGCGCCTTTTGCCCACCTTATCTTGAAGTTCGTTTTGGTTAAACTCTTACAAGCGGGACTATTATGTAAGTGCCTATGTTCCTTTCCTTGTGCTTGCCTATATATCTAGTCTTTTGGTAGTTTTTCCTAGTTTTTACACTAGTTTCTTTATCGCTCGTTTTCGCAACCTCGTAACACGTGGCTTACGTTGTTCACGTTTCGTTAGAGCACTACACGTTTTTCCTATTTAGTTATTAGTTTTTGTTAGAGTTCGTTTTCAAGCGGTTCTCCTTTATTCTTTCAAGATAGTCTTTTCGTGAGTTTCTTTTTGAGTTTTAGCTAGTTTTTGGATCTCGCCTTTATATCGGAATGATTGGAATGTTGGTTCGTATATTAGAATTTAGCTTAGCTTCTTCCATATAATTTCATATTTCGGTTTACAATAAGTCCTTGAATACTTTGACTACGTTAAATAAAACGATTCAAGGCTTGTCCGTAAAATATATCTTCGCTTCATAGTGTTTCTTCATTTGCAAAACTCATAGTTGTCGTTGAACATTTGCTTCGCTTGTGTTGGCCACCACATTAATGTTCATGAACACAAATGGCTCTTCGAGGAGCCTCCAACCTTGCATAAGCAATGATCAGTGTGTACCCTGGTATACCTTTATGAAATTCTGGTTTTAAAATTTGCTAGACAGACTTACAAGTAGAAATTTTTGATGAATGGTGTTAACTTATGAATATTTTCTGCACTTTTTCTGGATGCATTGCAGATAAGCCACAACCCTTATTTTTTTACGAACAATTTTGGGGGAAAAGTGTGGATTATCTGCCAGTGTTTAATGTTTTTCAAGTCCAAAACAACCAGGGAAGATCAATATTAATCTTAAGGTTGTGCAGGGACACAATCATTGCCTTATATAGTAGTCGTTTCCCTTGAATTTTGAAGCAACACCTAAAACAGCTCCTTGAGAGACTAAACCCCATTTGTACAAGAAATGGTGGACACGACCAGAATTTTCGAAAACAACAAAGATTAGAATTTTTATCAATCAACTTACCATTTCTCAGGGACAAAAGGCCATGCATTCCTCTCTGCATCAGTAATGAGTGTCTGAAGTTTACTTGACAAGAGAGCATACCACAATTCAAAGGTGCTTGGTGCTTCATCTTCAGCTGAGAAATCAAGTTCCAAGTTTCAAAAATCAAGTTTAAGTTTCAAATGATGAAACAAACGGCTGAGAAGGATAATACTGACCGCATTCCATTTACTCTTACATTTCACCCTCACAACCACGCAGTTAAATCTATCATTCTTAAAAATTTTAAATTACTCCAAAACGATTCAGAGACTGGCACTATCTTTTCGTAACCCCCACTTATTTCATTCAAACGTGACAAAAACATAGGCCAGTTTTTAGTCAGGAGTTCATTTCAAACCAATGACCAATCTGGAACTTTCAAATGCGCTCGCTCACGACGCAAAACTTGTTCTTTCATTAATAACGTAGAGAAAATATCGGGACCCAAAAGATCCATTAAGATCACTGATCACTTTATGTGTACCTCCGCCAATGTTATTTACTGCATAACTTGCACTTATTGCAATAAGTTATACATCGGCGAAACAGGAAGACGACTGGGTGACCGATTCCGAGAACACCTTCGCGATATGGAAAGAAATGACAAGGACGCATCCATACCAGTCGCTAGACACTTTAATCTTCCTAATCATTCTAAACAGCATATGGCAGTTTGCGGCCTTTCCTTACATCTAGGCAGTTCGGAAAGCCGTAAAACACTAGAACAAAACACCTTCGCGATATGGAAAGAAATGACAAGGACGCATCCATACCAGTCGCTAGACACTTTAATCTTCCTAATCATTCTAAACAGCATGTGGCAGTTTACGGCCTTTCCTTACATCTAGGCAGTTCGGAAAGCCGTAAAACACTAGAACAAAAATTTATCTTCCAAATCGGCACCCTTAATCCCACGGAATCAACGAGCGCTTTTCAATCAACTAATTTATTCCTGTTTTCTTGTCACCATATTCCCACCAATGGCGTAGCTCTACTATCTTCATATAAACTCACTCACAAAACACAATTCCTCCACTCGCTCGACGAAGGGCTTCTGCTCGAAACGTCAACTTTTTTACCCTTTACGGTGGCTAATTTACGTTTTCAACTCAGTTGTTAACACTAAATTACCTGAGAAATCAAGAAGTTGTGCTGCACTCAGCTGAAAGCATTGAGCCACTGATATGGATGCTAAATTAATCGCTTGTTTGCTGCCACATAGGCTACTGGCTTGATTAGTTACCAACCCAAGCCTTAAAAGCTTCTCTGCTTCCTTTGAAAGATGAATAACTGGAAGAGGTTCTCGCAGGTGGCAGAGCTGGCTGTAAACTCTTTTTTCAAAAGCAGTTAGGTGTTCAAATACAAACTGAAGGACCAATAAAATGGGATTGAGATCATCTTTTCCAATTTCATGCACCATGCCGTCATTTTCCAAGGACAAAAAAACACAATGCAAACTTTTATCTGGAAGGTTAAATTCCCTGAAAACATTAATCAAAATATCGACAGCTCTAGGATTGCCATTCAATATGCAATGTATCTTAGAGATCATTTCTTCATTTAACTTCAGAGAAGAATACAACTCTCTGACATTCAGTGTAAATGACTGCACATTAAGACCTTTGACCTTCACAGAGAGTAATTGCCAATCCTTTATTTCTTCTTTGAAAGGAAAGTTGCATTCTTGCTCACTGGAAACAAGAGCAACACCAATATTAGTTTTGTTCAACAGCTTTGAAAGATGAGACCAAACAATCCCACCATCAGCACTTGCATCATCCACACAAATCAACTGGAAGTTTGCTGAAATGAAAGCTTGGGCAACTTTGTATTTTTTGCTCAACTTGACTTTTGAGTTTGTTAGTGTAGATGCTGTCTCTCGGTCCTTTCTTTCCTTTGCGATTTCACTCAGCAAATTCCAGAGGGACTCTAGAGTACATCCTTTTCTGACTCTTAAACCACACACCTTCGATGCTAACAATTTGCGTTGAATAGATTTTTCACAGGTATCCAGCAAGACTGATGAACGTCCACAACCTGGCTCACCATATATATAGACACAAGCTGGTTTGTCTGAGGTTGTGGCTTTTTTGTCTAGATGTTTTAAAATTGATTGAAAAGGGATGGAGAACTCCAGGTTACAAATATCATGCTTTATTCTCTGGTTGTCTTGGAAATGAAGCTGTGTCAAAGATGTGTAAAGCATTTTCATATCATATCTGCCTGAAGAGAAAAAGGAAAATGAGAAGACATTAATTAAGCTGTCACAACTAATAATTCAAATTTTAAAGAAATAAAAAAACATTTGATCACAACATCCCATCAATTACCATGATTAAAACAAGAGGTTTGAGAATGGAATGTTTACTAAAAATTTGAACACATTTTTTCTTTCAATACAATATACACCACCTATCTAGGGAGCATTTGCTAAAATTATGGTGGGTGTGCATGTCTGTGGAGGTGGGGGGAAGAGGTGACAAGAAAAAATGGGTTACTGGTATCTGAAAAAATCTTGGATGTCTAAAAACTTCAACCACTGCAAAATTAGTTACCTCAAAAAAGAAGAAAATGCAACTTAAGACCACAATACTTGTTGAACATATAGACTCCAACATCATCAGGAGAAATCATGTATCACCAGAGACTAAAACTGGAACCTTAATTTATTGAAAACTACCGGTATACTTATATTCACATGTATTATTCAACAAGAAAACTAAAAATAGACATTGCTATTTAAACTGAGCCACAAAAATATATGAAATTTTCTGGCTGACCTCATAGATCCATTAATTAACATGTCATCCGCTGCAGAAGCAAAATTATCTGCACAAATTATGAATGTGAGTACTATGCAAGTACTTATGAATGCTTCTGTCTTAAAGTAATGAAATTTTGTTTTTTATAAGGCCATACTTTACCCAATTACTAGAGGCTTCTAAATGTTTTTCTTTCTTTAGGAGAGCAGAGGTTTAGAAGACTGATATCCTCCTTAGAGTGCAAATTTGCATTCAAATGTTTTTACAAGTGCAATGTAAGCAAAATATAACTTTGATTAACAAGAAAGGTTGTACATTTTGAAGTTTAAATTCTGCGTGAATTTTCAAATTAAAGAGAAAGCTGCACAAGGAGTAGGTGTGGTTATCAATCAGGCAAAATTTATAACTGAAGACCAAGAAAACTTTTTGTGGGAAAATGGTTTTTTAGGTAGTAAGAACAGGGAGATTCTTTGCTATACTTTGGTTTGGGTTTTTGGCATTCAGTTTGCTTTGAAGGCTGGGCAGGAACACCGAAATTTGAGGTTCAAAAACTCTCAGTTATCTTTAGAACATGATGAATCGGAGTGTGAATTCTTGCAGTACATGGAGGATATTAATAAAACAAACAATGGGGGTTTGTGCCATTTGTGTGTCAAAAGGAAAGTTGTTCATGCATGTAAAAATTTAACTAATACAGAACGTTCCTCAGTCAAGCTGTATAAGTAGTATTTGTCTCACATGCCTAAAGAAATTAGTGATAACACATTTTATTTGTGTGCTTTACCCAAACTGAGAGGAGAACTGTAGTAAAATTAGTTAGGAAATGTAGTAGAGAAAATCATGACAAAGGCAGGATTTGAGGGGTATTTCACAAACCACTATCTCATGCAAAGTTCCACCTAGGGGTTGTAACAAAGCAGTGTATCAGAACAAGTTAATGTAGAAACCACTGGTCACCAGTCATTTGAGAGAAGAGAATATAAATCATCAACACTTAAATGAAAAGCAAGTGAAATCTTGCAAGGAGCATTTCCTAAGAAAGTTGAAAAGGATGTGGAGGAAAAAGAGGAAGAGTTGTTTGAGAATCATGTTAAACACAATGAAGAAAAAGAAATGGGATTAAACACAAAAGTTCTTGAGGAAAAGAATGATGAAGAGGACTATTATTTGTCAGTTGAGATTAGAACCAATACTACTAAAATTGTCATTTAACATAAGTAAGAAAGTCTGCTGCTGTATGATGTCTAATTGTAATAAATGAAGCAATAAAACAATAATATCGAAAACATTTGCAGCTGCAATATTAAAAATATTGCTGCATGTAGGGTGCACTATTATTAATATAGCAGTGCAGTTAGCTTACTGCAATATCGAGTTTTTTAGCTCATTTAGAATTACCCCTGATAATTTCCCAGCCAACGAAACAGACCATCCCCAATTTCCCTTAGAAACTTGGACTGTACTGAAGACCTAATTACCTTCTTAGACTGAAATTGCTAATATAATGCAAAAGGAGCACAATAGGATTTTATTGCGGTCAGTTATTATCAGATGCTAAACAACTTTGAGGAATTTTGACTGTAAGTAGCCCCAGTTACTAGAATTTTTATGATGAACATCCTCATTGGTTCTGCTTCTCTTTTAAACACAACCTTATAATGTAAATGACTACGCTAATGCATGCACAACATGATACAAAGTTTTCATGCCATAATGTGACAAGACTTATAAATCAATAATGGTAATAAGACCAAGTGGAGTCCAATTCGGTCTGTAATCATAGGGGTGATTGACAAAATCAGATGACTGCAAAGTGGGAGTCAGATTTATTAATCACGAGTATGATTACAGACAGAATTGGACAACACGAAGTCCTGTTACCAATTAATCGAAACTATGATAAAGTTTGAGAAACAATCAATTCATCAGTTATACATTTTCATGAAAAGAAAAACAACAGTTAACTCAGCGAAATGTGAGACAACAGCGCGTGCACATGACGCGTTCTATCCACCTACACAAGCATTACTCATCACAGTGACTAATTATTATCACTGATTAAGATCGACTGGTATTTCCGCGTCGCTCGCTTGTCACAAAGCTCGCCCGTACAGTCAGCTCGAACCATTAAAGCCTGTCATAAAATGTCCTGGATTTTATCTTTCACAAAATTGTCGCAAGAAAAGTTTTTCAGGGAGTATTGGAAGATAATAATGACAAAAAATGAAAATGAAAGAGTCCAAGAAACCATGCAAAAAGACCATCTTTAGATATTCATCATAACTGAAAAATATATCTGTGCTCTATTCTCCGATAAAACTTGCTGACTCTCAACTTCAGAGCAGATATCGATGGTTGTTGTTGACGTTCCAATTCACCACATTGAACCACAAAATAAAGGACAATACTTACCCTGATTCACTCAAAGACAAAAGAGAGAGCCTTGTAAATTCCTGCTGGCATTTCTCACCGTCGGCGCATGTGTGACGACGGATGTAGAAACATTGGGATTATGTTTCTCATTTGTAGCCATTCCTAGCCGTTCTTTGGGATGTCACGCAACAGTCGAGGAATCATCTCGCTACCGCCGGAATATTAGGAAAGCGTGACCTGTAGTGATGATTGTGTAGCTGAAAAGAGAGCCTTAGGTCACTCCTAATCGTCGTTGCGCAACGGATATTTCCAGAGAAGAGATCCCTTCAGACTCTAAAAATGGCTGTCTTCGGATCACGAGCAAATATACAGGGAACATTAAACTGTTTGTTCAAACGAACAGGAGTTGCAGGTAAGAAAACCCTCTCTTATTATTCGCTGTGTCAATTAGTGTAGAAATATAATTTTAAAAATTTTAATTGGTCTCGACTTTACTGAGGAAATGATCAGACCAGTGATTTAAAATGGCTGGAGCGCTTGGGAAAAGGCATAGTCGAAATTATGTATTCGAATAGGTTCCCGTGGCCTTAAAGTTCATGCCACGAAATCAACGTGAATGTAACTCTTGCTCACGAGTACTGTTGAGTTAAAAAGACGTCAATTACAAAATTGACTCACCATTTCACCCTGCAGTAGGCTCTCTGAGACTTTGTTGTTTCCCAACGTTCCAGGTCGTGTGGTTTTGGCGGGTGACACATTCACAAATTTGGAAAACCAGAACATCTCAGAAAAACCGCAGAATATGGAGGCAATTTTTTTTTGGGACGGGTGGGTTGAGGTGGGACACTCAATATAGACATCTCATTTACCCTGATCTTCCATTACCAAAAGGTGTATCACGTGTTTGACGGATCCCATGTATTACAGAAGCATTTCTTTTAGTACAGTCACTTTCCTCGGTTTAAAGTTAAGTATATCGAGAGCTTGGGAATTTGTCATCATTAGTGTTCATCACGTGCCATGGTTAGTTAACTCTATTTGGTGCCCCATTGCTAAGAGAAAGCCATGGTGAGACACTGGAAACTTTTTTTTTTGAGTTGGATCCCAAACCTGCCATGGACCTTCTCACTGGAAGGTTAGATTGCCAGGTAATTACAATTGGCCTGAGAAGGGTCGCCAGTGGCCTGCTGGACCTGACAATACTTTGAGACTATAATTTCCCCAAAACCATGTGGAATGTTAACTTGCTTGGGGACCTTTATATTTTTCCATCTCTCTCACTAGATCCTGAAATTTGTCAAACTTTTCCTCTTCTTTTGCTGCAGCACTTATGTTGTCTGGGTCTGTGAGGCCAATTACTTCACAATAATTGCTTGCTGGTGTTACCTCTAGAGCTACTACATGTAGATTGAGTCCACTTGCTCTGATCTCATGTTTAGTCTGGATGTTACATCCTCACAGAAATTTCAAATTCTCATTCACCATGATGATTTATGCTTCATCTACATGTTTGTACAATTTTCCTCCCAAATAGAAACTGCTTTGTGCCATCTACCATCTACCATCTTTGTGTTTGTGTAATTCTCCTTTGCCTTAGAAATTTTCTTTACATTAGGTCTTCTCTCTCCATTCAGCTAGAATTTCAAATCTCCTTTACATACTCTTTAGTTAGTCAGAAATTTCAAAGACACAGTACATCTGACCTGCCCAGGCAGGTTTTGAGCAAAATGTCAAAACTAAAATGTACCTCACCAAAAGATCAAGTTTCTGTCACATTTATCATGTTCCATTTAATGACTGCACAAAAACTTTGCAGCAGTGCATGAAAGGATCTGTGCTTAAAACTTTAATTACAGTTCACTGTCTATCCACTATTTAAGCAACAAGTTGATTGTTTTGTTTTAGAGTGTTTAGGTGCTCAGAAATTGGTTGCCAGGTTCTCTTCACCTTCTCAAGAGTATGACAAGCCAGCAATTAAGACTGCAATTCCAGGACCACGCTCACAAGTAAACTTATTTAGTTAGTTTGGGATTGTATTTAGTATAACAGACTATGTGAATAGTTTTTATTCCAATAATCCAACTGAAGGAACATTATGATTAATTTATAGTAAAAGTTTAAATAAAGTTCATTGGAATTCTAGCCAGTGATACATTGACTAGTGTGGTTGTTGCAACCCTCAATGAATCCAAGTTGGAGTCTTTCTTTATTAGGCTGTAACATTCATATATTTGATTATCCTCAGCCATTTTTTTGTGGATGGTTTGTTAATAATTAGCTATTACCTTAACAATGTTTGTAAAATAATTTGATTCTGCTGGTTCTATGGCAGGAGTTGATGGCAGAGCTGTCTCACGTACAGGTTTGCTTTGTTATATGATTTGTATGGTGATATTTTTGTAGCTGCAGTTGTGGGAACTTAGCTCATGCTTGCTGGCCACAATGCTATGCATTGGCAGGCTTTGAGGATCTGAGTTTGAGTAAAATTTTAACATTGCTGTTGGATTTATAGAATGTTGAGCTCACTGTATGGACAGTCCTTACTGCTGACTGTTTGATTTGCATTAACAGTATAATGTGTTCAGTCATATTACTCTGTGTACATGTAACTGATCTTTCAAACTGTAGAATAAGTATGAATTACCAGCAGGGTTAATGTAAAAATGAATTATAATGGAGTCAGGACCCAATGACAAGGGTTTCAATAGCTTTTTACTGCAATAGGCCTCATTCCCACTTGGAAAATTGTTAAATTAATTTTTTTTAGACAGTTCTTTTTTCTTTTCCTTTTTTCAGCTGACAAAGGGAATGTCATATTTTGTTGATTTTGAGAAGAGTTTAGGAAACTTCATTGTTGATGCTGATGGCAATGTTTTGTTAGATGTTTTTCAACAAATTGCTTCTGTTCCATTAGGTTTGTTGAGTTAAGGAGTGCATTGTTTTCTAAGTTGGCATATAAGTTCTTGAATAATTTTACCCCTTATGGTAACTGAATAATGGAAAAGGTATTGCTAAAAGCAGGCCCCTCATGGCCTGCAGCTCAGTGACCCAAGGCTTCACAGCCTACATTTTTTTAATATTGTTGACTGTTTCCTGCATTGTGAGGTGGGCAATTGTGAGTTTCTATGCCTGTGAAATCACATCAATCCTACTCAATCTTTGAAATACTTTAAAATGTGTAATTTTGGTTTAAGGAGGTTCCATAGGGTTTCTGAACTGCAAGATCTGGATGTGAACAAACATTGCGGCTTGATACATTAGCACAAGTGTTGTATAAAAAGGTGTATTGAACAGTATAAAACAATGCAGTTTGTATGGAATGGACTCTAGGGTTTCTGGCAACTATACCCATAACATCCATTGGCCTTGTACTGCTTAATAAGAGGACAGCAGAAGAGAATACAATGTGGAAAGATGGCAAAATGGTGACAGATTTAAGTTTAAGCATGCTCAGCTATCAATCTTGATGGATTACTATTTTATAATGTAATGTTGGGGAAGTAAGAAAAGGGAGATCTTTCAAGTGAGATTTTTCACATTAAATGCCATTTTTTTTTCGAAAATTGGCTCAAGCCCAACCACATCTACAGTTCTTATCAAATTGCATATCTTTGTCAAAATCTGTCGACGCTAATCAAATGTATTTAGAAAATTACAAATAAGAGATTATTGGCCAAACCATCTAAATGACCTTGAGTTTTACCATTTCAAAAGGTCACTAAAATCATTTCCATAATGTGGCAAAGAATAAAGACATTTTACCAAGGGAAAGTTAAGATATTTAAAACTATGGTAGGCTAAAAATTGCAATATATCTGCTAGTAATTAGAGATGATATTGCCATGGTGACATCATTGATCTAAAAAAAATTGACATCCAAAATTGAAGCTTTATTATATCATTAGCTGAACTGGTAAATATCTTGAGGGAAAACTTTGAGACAAATCAACTAGGTTTCCTTTCATAACTCATTCTCTGAAGGAAGGTCTATTCAAAAATACTCTAGGAAGCCACCTTAAACTTATGTATAATAACATCAGGTTCTCATAGAATTGAGGAATCTAGGGAAAATAATGAACACTTACATTTTGGGAACCAGTATATAGGTTGGCATAAAGGCATTCATCAACTAGTGATGAAAGCTCTCAGATGTCTAGTTTGGTAGTTTTGTCTTCTTAGCGGTGGTGTTGTGATAAAGACATTGACAAAAAAGAGGAGTGAGGTGATTCTCCATATGCCCTACTTTTGGTGCTCTCACCTTGGTATTGTCTTTGTAATGCCCAATCTTACTTGAGCAAATGGAACATGAAGTCCTAAATACTTCCCTTGATTGAGAGGTGATGTTTGCAGTGTCATCAATATTGGGTTCCTTTGTCAGAGATGAAAGCTGTTCCATAATTGCCCTATATTTTTCATTCTTAAGTTTGACCAACATATGTATACTGAGGCATAAAAAGCTCTAATTAAAAGTAATCCTAAGCTTAGGATGGATAAGATTTGACAAGAACTGAAACTCAGCATCATTTCTCTTGCGTCTTAGACAGTAGTGATATTTATTATCACATGCCAGCAAGAAAATGGGCCTTGAGTAAATAGGCTGTAGGCTTTGGGCTTGGAAGTGGGCCTCAGGTAGGCAACAGGTCACTGACTCTAGGTGTCTGAGCAGCTGAGCCACAGGCCTACCTCTAGCAAAACCCCCATATCCAGTATCTGGTATCCAGTCAAGTCGCCGATGGTTCAACTTGCCAACGCCAACTCACCAACATATAAAATTGAGTAGAAACGTCGGCGAGTTGGTCTTCAATCCAGTATTGAACCTATCAGAAGTTAAACATATAGAAAAGAAAAAGAGTGAGGTAAATATCGCCAATGACTAAGAAAGCTTCAGACGCCAACGAGTTATAACTCGTTCGCATCTAAAACTTTTTTGGTCATTGGCGATGTTCACCTTGCTTTGTTTGCCTTGAGATCCCTATAAACTTTATTGGAAATAAAAATAATTGTTTTTTTTTTAACTGAATATCTTGTCCAGAAAGCCTAAAGACCTTTTACTTTTCTATGTGTTAAACTTCTAATAAGTTGTACTGGATTGAAGACCAACTTGCCGACGTCTCTACTTGATTTTATACATCGGCAAGTTGAACTGTCGGCGACTTGACCGTAATTCCATCTGGAGTGTCTGTTTGGGCTAGTCAGGAAAAACATAAATGACTTGCTTGATGTGCTTGCTCAATCTTTGTGCCTTACTTTTAATCTTAATCATCTTCCTTTAATATAGGTTATAATCACCCTGCTTTGGTTAAAGCTTTACAAGATCCAAAGAATGTGGTAAGATGAATGACTAATTGAAATTTATTCAAAATAAACTCTTAAGTGACAATTGTGATAAATAATGTTTTATCATAGGTGGTGGTGCAATGCAATAATCTACAGTCAGCAAGACTTGATTGTCAGCATTAATTTATTATCTACGACCTTACCTGATGATGTTGTTTATGATGTCTCAGTCAAGTAAACTGACACATCTACTACATTACTGATCAATTTATTCTTAGTTCTTGAATAATTAGATCTGTGATTTTGCAGAAAATTTGTGTCAAGTTTATTAGATATATGCTATAATGTGTTTTCTAACAGCAGTGATGTAATTTGTGAAGATGAGATTTTGTTATCACTATTGGCATGTATATAATGCCAATAATATAATGGGTGGGGATAACTAATGATTATGTCTTGAGACACATGATCCAGTTGAGAATGAGATACACAACAAGATGAGGTCATGAAGGAAAGTGATCTTCGCAGTGATGTGCACTACTTAGGCAGTAGTGCAATAATCAGGCCTGTACGGGATTTGAACCCATGACCTCTGCGATACCGGTGCAGCGCTCTACCAACTGAGCTAACAAGCCAACTGGGAGCTGGTCATGATGGTGGTTCTAAATAAACCCGTGAAGTGATGAATAGACGGTTAAGAATATATGAAGGTCATATGTAACACAATTCCTTCATCCCTGTTAACTAAATTAAATATTGATTTGCCCCTTTTTGTCAGGATAGTGTTCCCATATAAACAATACAAACAAAACCAAAGATATGCCACATATATATCAAAGCACTGTGTAATAGGATAACAAGCACAAAGGTCAGAGGTGCTCACTGGGTCAGAAGGAATGGAAGGGTGTCATAATAGTCCTGAGGAACAGGGCTGTAGGGGATTATAGTCATCTGTTGGCTGAAAATTAGGCAGAAGTTACCTTTGCTGTGTCTTGCAAAATGGGAAGACTGTTTTTTTTTTCTGAGAAAGATGAGCTCAATGCCATCAGCTAATAATCACAAAACTGAACATGTTGGAGAGTGTATGATGCAGAGGAGGGGTTTTGATGACCTTCACATGTGTTCTCCTATCCTGCTCCAGTTTCTTAGTAAATAGAACATCAAACAATGAAATAGATCACATTTGGAATGGCAGGTGGCTAGTTTTTGCTTTTAAATACATTCATTGTAGGCTGTGTAGTCACTAGAGTTTACAATTCAGATAAAGTTATAGCTTAGTAAATAATCCACCACCATAGCCACCTCCACTTTAGTGAGTAGTTATTACTTTTAATATCAGTATAGATATTTGAACAGATGTAGATTGTTCCATAATGCCACAGAGGGACAGGAGGTATCCACACAGTTAGGGTGGCTAAATCTATGTGGTTAGTGCAATAGGTTGGTGTCAAGGTGGTAGATGGCAATTAGGGACCTGATTGCTTTTGAATGGACTACAGAGGCAGACATCAAAACAAAATTGTATCAAATTAATTTCAACAGTCCTTAGTACACACTGTAGGTGATCTGTAGGTGTCGGTCCTCGTTCTGGTGTAGATAGAGGTGCCATTCTCAGTGGTTATGCCATTAAGTGTTGTTTTTGGCTTTACGTTTGTCTGTTATACAAGAACCTACTGTTAAACTCATCTTTTCTTTATAACAGTCTTCCTTTGTCAACCGAGCAGCCTTGGGTCTCTATCCACCTGTCTCCTTTCTTCAAGATTTAAAAGATGCACTGCTAAGTGTAAGTTTGAGAAAGAAACAGCTAGTTTTGAGTGACTATTCAACCTCGTCGCCTGACAAATACTGATGTTATGACAATTCAATTATTGAAGTTGTCAGATTTAAAACAAGATTTCTGTTGAACAATGCGTCTAGGATATATGGACACTTAAAAGTAATTTTTACCAGTCAAAAGAATGGAATCGAAGTATTGTTTACTTGAAAGCTCATTCCATCTATCTTTCTCCAAATCCAGTGTCCTTTAGCATATGTACTTTTAATTTCGAGCTCCTCAAAGTCTGTCTCAATCAGAATGGAACGAAAAACCAAAACTCGCGGGCTAACTGTACTACGACGTGCTGTGCCAGTGTTTTTTTTCTTTTTTTTTCACTAAGCATTTCTTTGCTGATGTCATAAGCGAGCACAATTGGAATATGAAGCAAGCTCGTGCAAATTAGTTTGAATACACGAATTTACCAACTATGTTAAACGTCCTATTTTCACGCGTCGCCGTTTGATTCATTTGATTACACATTATCATAACCACACGGCTTGGAACCAATTTCAAGATATTCTGCCGCTCATAAAATAAACGTATTATTCACTTCCGAATAAGCTAATCAGCGAAAAGTACTATTTATTTGACTGTGTAGCATATACTTATCCACAACATTCACTGAGCCTGAGGCGAATAATTGCTAAATATTGACCTACGTCTTAGACTCGCCGTCGACCGCACATATTTAGAAGAAAAGCAGAATTAAAATGATTTTTAAACAAATTTCACTGATTTCTTTAACTTTTATGACATGATTATTTGGATTTGATCCATTCGTAATTTATTTTACAGGTAGCCCCACCTGGACTTCCTGAGGTAACTACAATGGCTTGTGGAACGTGCTCAGTAGAGAATGCCTTTAAATTGGCTTTTATGCATTATAAGGTTAGTAACAATCCTCTATCAACCCTTTCAATCTTTTTAATTTCAATTGTAACTTTGAATTTCCACTGTCACCTTGTTCATCTATTCTAAGATCAAATTGTTCGTATATCTATCTTTAAAAGGTAAGCGTAAAAATCAGTGTGCTGTTCACCGTGGTTCGAGCCTGACTCCAGAGAGAACCTAACCTGTCGCAACTGTCTTCGAATGTGCTAAGAATTCGACAATGATACCTTTTTTCAATCTTACTAGAAACCTGGTTGCTTATCTGGGATGTAATAGAGTCTCACTACACTTTTTTGCTTCTCTTAGCGGTCACTTTGAACTGTTGGGAATTACCCAGAGACGATACTGACTCAAGTAATTCGTTTTTGTTATAACTCAAGCAGCGGTTATTTTTTAACTTCGCGGTGTGCTTCCCTTTACAAAAGTGTCCCTCAGTTTACATTCCGAACTGTCTGTAGTTTAGTTTTAAGTACATTTAAGACAGTTTTCAGAAGATTATGTAACGTTTTGGAATCACAATCAGAGATGAAAATGACATGGTTTCTTGAGCTTAGATTATCAGTTTTGAGTCATTTGTCATTATAATCTGATTCAGCACTCCAGTCTGCTTTCTTTCACATCTGCGAATTCATAATTTGAGGTTACCTTGAATCAAACTCGGCAAGTTATCAGCCTCTTATTTGTACAGTGAGTGCGTGTGTCTGTGTGTTTTTTATCATCTTTTTGTAGAAGATACATTCGAGGAAACGTTCATGATCCCAAGATTTTTATTCGCTCATTTTAGGCTAAACAGCGTGGTAATCCTGAACCCTCCTTGGAGGACCTAACAAGCTGCATGAGATCTCAGGTAGTGTAACTCTTTGAGTTATTTTAATTATTTAAAACTTTGAAGATTAAAACACCGGCAGTCCAGCATTATTCTACATATAAAGCTAGTTTCAAATGCGTTACTAACGATATCGTTTTCAAATTTGAAAAACTTGGATTAACTTGATGATGCCGAGCCCGAGGAACAAATTCTTCGCTGGCAACGCTACAACAACACTTATTTTTCTGACTTCGTAGTTCGATTTTTTAGGCCCGTGATCATGGGATATTTTCATGTTTCTGCCACAACGCCAGGATCTTGTGACTATGTATAGAGTAACTCTAGGCAGTGAAATGTGTTTTAAGTTCAATTAACATTTTGTTTTAAAAATTTCAGCATTGCAATGTTATTAAAACCATACTTACTCATCATCACTGTCTTTCAAAGGTCTCAGTCCCTTGGTCTCTTTTCTGTCTCGACAATATAGTGGCAATGCATCTGTTATTGCTGTTTTTATGTTGATCAAAACATCGCCTTCCTGAAATACACTTCCATTGAATAGATCGGTCCATAAATTTATGCTACTTGATAATGAATGGACAAAAATTTCATGGCCCTCGCGATCTTCGGTTCTGAGCGAAAGGATTGACTCACTCGCTTGTTCAGAACTGCTACGGGAATTTCTTCCATCTTTTATCAGTTCATTCTTGGTTTGACAAAGTTTTACTTTACAAAGAAAATTATTTAAATCAAAGAGCAAAAGTTCATCGCTTAAGTCTGATCAACGGAGTTAGAAAAGTCATGAATTGGTTTCCTTTATGGCAATTGTGATTTTGCAAAAATTACGACTTGCCCACAAACAATATCACTCTGGTTACTTAACTCTGACGATGCTTTTACTGCCGCACATAAAGACGAAATAAACGCTTTCTATGACCACCTCAACAAATAGAATGCCGACACACAGTTGACCAACGAAGTTGCAGAGGAAAGAAGTCTCTGTCTTTTGGACTGCTCGATAAGCTGTGACGAAAGCTCACCACGAAAAATAGTTTCTAGGAAACGGTCGCATATTGACAGATCACTAAACGAATTGTCTACAACTTGACATTACTCAAAGCCAAGACTAGTTTGCAACAAAAAAAAAAAAGTAACGATGACCTCATCAGACCAAACAGTAAACTACTAAAACAACTGAAATGAGTGTGAACTCCGTCGAACGCTTATCTCGTAAGACTACTGTACTGAAAGGGTATCTCTGAAACCATCTCGAGCTGAAATAGCTCCACAACGCTATCCACAGGCCGATTACTGCGCGACGACATTTACTAGTGGAGACCAAATATAAAAACGAAAGTGGCATGCAAAGAAAAATAGTTGTGGACCAGCGACTTGGGTCAAATCGCTGATAGACAGTGTCGAAGGGTGTTTAAGTACCTGCGGGTTTGGCACAATAGACAAATTTATTCTGTCTCGAGGGTTGAGCTATAAGGATTTCCTGCTAGATCTTCAGTTGCAAAGGTGTCCCATGAAAATATCATCAGCTGTAGACGTTTCTTTGGTTTAATCAACTGACTTGATAATATAAATTGGCCACCTTAAAGGGTTTCTAAGCTGACGTTTCGAGCGTTAGTCCTTCGTCTGAGCGAAAAACGAAGGGCGAACGCTCGAAACATCAGGTCAGAAACTCTTGTAGTTGGAACAAGTGATTTTTGATGCCTAGAACATTTGTTCGTTTTTACATAGTTTAACAAAAGGGAATTTCCTGTACTCTGTTAGGCTCCTGGCACACCACCGTTAACAATTCTTGGTTTTGAGAGAGGATTCCATGGTCGAACTCTGGGTAAGTTAAATTGTTTTAAATACTAGGACACATTCAAGACTGTTGTGGAATACGCATTGATCTGCAAAAACACCAAAAAGACGTTCTTTACCAGACATTTAAATGAGAACATTTTACTTATTATTGTAGCAATGCAATCAAATTCTACAGACATGTTACTTTTCAAATGTTAAGAAAGACGTCTCTAAACGTCTGCTTCGTTTATTGCAAGTTTCTTTTCTATGTTGATGTAGACTTTTAACTTTTTGACCTCAACCTTGTTGCGGAAGGTCATTATACCAAATTGCGAGTATCAACTGAGTACTTCGTGTCATTGGAATGATGGCCGGCCAGGAGCGTTTGAATGGTGAACAGATTGGTGCTTTGGACATCGCGGTTTTAATTTTAGGATAAATTAATCTGATTGATTAATAACAGTGGAAATTATGTCCAGCGTTCTCTCAGTAGCAACTCGTTGGTTCCCTCTAGAGGGCTTCCCTCGCGCGAGACAGCCGATTGGTGACACCGTTATATAGCTGGGATAGTTAAGACTGCACCTCAAATGAGTTCTGTATTTGGAAAATTAGGATATTGAATTTAGCAATTTAAGGTGTTCATCTTTGGTGACCCGAAAGGTAACATTCCTCACCCTTTCCCCCCCATCTCTCCTTCATAGGCTAGACAGAACCAACGAACCGATGAGAACAATAGTCTAACTCTGGGGTAGAAAAACAGACATTAATCAGTGCGCACAGTGAAAGTGTCACAATGCAATGAATTTGTTCTTTGTTGCTCAGGTGCTCTTTCTACCACTCGATCAAAAGCAATGGCAAGAGTAGACATTCCTATATTTGATTGGCCGAAGGCGCCATTTCCTGTCCTGAAATATCCACTTGCAAACTATGAAAGAGAAAACAAAACAGAAGAGGAAAAATGTTTGGAAATGGTAATGTAATTTGGCATAGTTTGAAGTCTGATGATGGTGCTATTGCAATTCTTACAACGTCTTGTGGTTCTGTTTTTGTGGTTTCTCCCTCCTATAAGAGACTCGTAAATCTTCGAGATGAGTGAGTGAGTGAGTGAGTGAGTGAGTGAGCGATGGTAACTTTAGAATTCCGATCTTGACCCTATGTTGACCCGATGTTTCCCAGTGCTACTTACTGTTTGTTTCGGACCATCTTAGTAGTTCGATATGCGCACTCGAGACACATTTGAGTTCTCACCTTTGTGATTTGTGGGTTATGTCCAATAACATATTATGTTATCATCCTTGTTGTGGCTACTGCCTCAGTCTATAATGGGAGACAGTATCCATTAGGTTACGGGGATGAGAGAGCGAGTAGGTGACGGTATATAACAATAGACCTCCGATCTCGACCCAATTGGAGTATCTTATTTGCAGTATCTTATTAGTTTGACATTCTTACTCGATACACATTTGAGTTCTCCCTTTTTGTGATATCAGGCTTATTGCTGACACTATAGAAGACAGCAGAAGACGATAAACACCTCACGATCATTTAAGGATTGCCTATGATAAAAAACAGTACTTTTCCTTGCTGAAATGTCTTAACTGATGTGATAGGCGCATCGTGAAACTTAAAGGAATATCAGTAGCTGCATGCAGTCTTAAACTGCTTATTTATTATTCTTGTTTCTCTACAATAGGCTCGTCAAGCTATCATTGATAGTAATAATGCAGGCAAACCAGTTGCAGGAATAATCGTCGAACCCATTCAAGCTGAAGGCGGTAAGAGCGTAAACAACAGGGAATCAAATTTGCTCCTATTTAAAATTTTTGGTAAAAAGAATCAAAAAAAGTTGACACTGGCTAAACGAAACGTCTAGAACAATATATTTTTCGGCCAGTGTCACCTTTTTTTAACTCGTGAATTGCGCGCATGCGCAACAGCGAGTTGTAGATACCATGTGGGGAATGACACTCGCTCGCTCGATTGTTCGATTCCTGTAAACTTTTTTTTCGATTTTAGGCTTTTGAGTGCATTTGATAGTGGCGAGCAATAAACAAACGAAATGGCGACCTTTGTTGCTAAGAATAGTGGTGGGGTGACAAAGAAGCCAATGATAATCTTAAAAGAGTTTTTTTTTCGTTTTAGTTTCAACAAGCGGCGCCAGCGACTGGCAGGCATGCAAGGATTCACACTGAAATAACGGAACAACCTTCGTTTTTTCATAAAATTGTAATTTACAATCCTTAAACTTGAGAACAATCCCAAGATTCATTGAAAATTTCACTTACTGCGAAGCGCTCGGAGTTTACAGATGTTCAAAAGCTTTTTCTGTTACGGCGTGAGATCGAGGACAAAATCGATCATTACGTTTCGTATCGTGTGTTTTTTCCGTGTGAAGCAACAGAACATGCCGGCGACTAACGAAATTGCAAGTTAACACGAAAATCAAATAACACCTAAACAAACAATTTTAGCTACCGATTTTCAGTGAATTTTTAAAGAACAATTTTCTTTTACGTTTCAAGACAATTTGAAGATTCAAAATACATATTACGTACTAAAACGCGAAAGTTACACACCACAAAATTGATAAATAGGCCTGAAATGAAATTCTATCTTGTTATTGATTATACGTTACCCAGCACGTGACTAAAATCTACCCAGGCGGAGATCCAAAATGACGGTGGCAGTCTTGGCTTAGTTATATCACTCAAAACTCGTTCCCGTTTGTCTCATTTGATAAAGAGGGAATCGTTAATGTTTTCATTAAGACAGTATTGCCTTGATTTTCTAATATTTACAATGATAGACAGTAAATTTCACTTTTCACCCACATTTACTTCCAACCTTTTCTTTTGAACCAGAAACAGAAATGATATACGTTTAAAACACATGACATCATCCACCCTTGTCAACTGCAATAGCATGATCATTTCAATTGTAATGCCTTCTTATCCCAAGGTTACTTTGTTTCTTTGCTACATTAGCGAACACTGAACTACTGCTCGTACTCTAGATATGACAATCAACCATAATATTCTCTAAACCAGATAACATTAAACATAATCCAAAGAATCGTGTGTCAATTCACGAGTTTGCTCACAGAGCACTTTGATTTAATTCTTTTTACCAAAATTTTTAATATGTCTGGCTACACACCGAATATTTTTTGCTCCTATTTATATTATTATATTTCTTGAAATATTCGATTTTCTTTCAGGAGATAACCATGCAAGTGCTGACTTCTTTAAATCTCTTCAGAGGATCGCTAAAGAGGTGAGAATCCAGCGATCCTGGGTACTAGAGAATCCCATCTATCCATGAAATTGGGTCGTCATGAGTGGCTGTACATCTATACTTACATATGCACGCAAATTTAAAAAAAACAAACAAACAAAAGTGACTAAGTATGCTGGTTGTTTCCACACGTTAACGTTCAGTTAAATCTATTGAGTATAACGTTCTTTTATTTTTTTGATTTGTTTTTATGTCGTTAACAGCACACCAGTTCACGCGAAAGCAAACTAACATAGAAAGATCGTTATTACTATTCTTGTTATTATTATGATCTTACCTCTTTTCTGGCAGTTTGATGCTCTGTTTATCGTTGATGAAGTACAGACAGGATGTGGAAGTACCGGTAAATTCTGGTAAGTATGAATATTAACCTCTATTAACCGAGCTCGAACGCGTCTTTGAAAATTATTAGTTTGAGATCGCCACGCTGGGTACCATTATGACCAAGGGCTAAATTCCCTGTTGTTATATTTGGCTCTCGGTTTGTCGTAAGGACCTTGCTGCGCTTGGTGCGTACGACATGACCTCGAGTGAAACATTTTCCTTCCCACACAGTCAGCAATCACATAATGTAGCGGAGGTAGCTAAGTTAGTGAGTAGTTCCACCCAGACGTAATAATGACGCATTCCTAGTGTTTCCTTCTTCCTCAAAATATATGCGCAAATGACGGGTTCTGATTGTTATACTCTGCAATTTTTTTTTATCATGGAAACGAAACTCGTCCAAAAGTTTTTGTCGCGATGAGAATTGCAACGTGTGAACTGCAGAGTGCTAGTTTTCTTCAGACGATGAGGGCTAGTGGTTGCCCTATGTTGCATTATGCTTTGCTGTGATTGGTTGGTTTTCAAAAGCTGTTATTGGCGCATTTCGATGATGAATTCCCTCATCGGTCCACTGCCGTGCCGTTGAGTCGCGGCTTTCTTTCTTGATCAAGGGGATCCATGTTTTTGGAGTTGCCATATCAGCCTCGTTAACCCTGCATGTGAAAAACTGTGGTGACCTCGATCATTAAATGTTAAATCACTGCAGAGCGTGCAGCTTCCCGTGTTGTATACGTGTTGTTGTCTACGTTTTAGCGAGTCAGATGTCTCAGTTATGCCCCTTGATTCTTATCTGTATAGGTCTTTTAGTTCGTAAATTTTGTTGCCTTTACACGAAATTCTCTTAATCATTTTGTTTACAGGGTTACATAATACATTTTCCTTACTGAAATTTTAGTAACTGCTCAATATTTTTTCTCAGTTTGACTCGAAGTCTTCTTTAAGAAAGAATTAAGGAAAATGACATCTGACACGCAGGAGCCGCCTTTTTTACAATTTTTGCACATGCTAAGAACATAATTAAAGCCAAAAAATTTATATATGATATCTTTTTATTGACCCGGCAGGGCACACGAACACTGGGGTCTTATTGAACCTCCTGACATAGTGACCTTCTCAAAAAAGATGCTAATCGGTGGGTTCTACCATAGGCCAGAAATACGAGTTCAGCAGGTTAGTTTCTTTCCAATAAAGAAACGTGTTGCAGTTTTATTTTGCAAATATTTTTATCACAAATATTGAATATGATTAGTATGAGCCGCAATGTTGTATTCTGTGCGAAATTTGTTCTCTCATTTAGAATGATTTACTCCAGCTGTAACCATACGTACATTTTTGCTCATTTGTCTCAGTCGCAGTCTGTGCACTGATGTTGGTGAAGTAAGTTGTACCCAATGCCAAAGCAGGATTGGTGGTTACCCTTCCGTAAATCAGAGCTCGCAGGTCATATCATTCCGTTGTAAACATATCAGTCCGATTATATCAGTCGCTTCCTACCTGTATCCCGCTTTTGTGGTGGACGTTGTGCTGATGAAATTTAAAGGAAACTCTCGGTTCGTTTTTTAGAAATATCGGTCCGCTTATACTGTAAGAGTGCTCTGTTAGGACTGGGACTGGGAACGAGACGACCGCTACTCACAACATGCAAAGCGCCATGTCCGGTATCCACCAAGACTATTAGACATTAAAACAGCAGGAAGCAATATAAGCAACACTCCCATGTGCTGTGTCTGTGGTGGTAGTTACCGCTCAGTGTGGAAAGTGGTCAGATACTAGTCGGCGCTTGCGCTGAGCTCACCAAAAAATTAGCAACTTCAAAAACTACTTCATTTGTTTTTTGGTAATTGTTTCATAATCCGACAGTTTCTATTATTTGTTTCGTAGCCACTACGTATCTTTAACACATGGATGGGGGATCAAAGCAAACTTGTTCTTTTAAAAGAAGTTGTTAAAGTGGTGCGAGAGGAAAGCTTACTTCAAAGAGTACAAGAAAGTGGCAGGGTTTTGTTGAATGGCTTGGAACACATGCAGGTGATCACATCTTTAATGTGCTGTGGTGTGTTGTGATGTAGTCATTGTGTGTTAGGTGATGTGCTGTGGTTCGTACATTGTCAGTACTATATAGACTAGTGTTCGTTTTGGACAAAGTAAGAGAGGAGTAAATATGCTATTGTTTTGAATCTTACACAAAAAAGTATTCAAGGTTTAGTTCATTGTTCAATTGCACTTCGTCCCTTGGTTTTAAATTTTTAACCCTTTAACTCCGAAATTCTAAGTAGTAATTCTCCCTACTGAATTTCGTTAATTTTCTTGCACCGACACCGGTGAATAGTTTTTTAGTATACACTAAAACAGTGAGATAATTCTGTGAAAAAAGACGATTTTAACTCATTGATTCCTGCAACTGTTAAAAATATTATCGGGCGCAAGTCCCACAAGCGTTGCTCGGAGGTGAATATGAGCGCAGGTTATAAAACAAGCTGTTATAAATCATTTACTTTGAGGAAATAGTTTTTCCAAATTTTTGTGATACACAAGGATAAGATTGTGAGGTCGATTTTTATCACGTGATAGTAAATAAGGGCAGAGCCCACTTCCGCCTATTTCCTTTTATTATCTGTCGCCCAATGGATAGCGAGTAGCGTAGCCAATCAGATTTTTGCTCCTGTGATAGAACAGCCAGTGGATTCATGCTAACTTACTAATAGAGTCCATATTGCTGTGCGTATGTTCAAAAATTCAGTAGAACTCCGCTAACTCGAACTCTCACCGGGGAAACGAAAAATGGTTCGAGTTAGTGCGGTATTCGAGTTTTCGACTGAGATTGCCGGTTGAATTTCAATTATCCCTTTGATAATTAAGAAGGAGTCATGTTCAAGTTCTACCATTCCTGCGCAATTTTTTAGTCCTTTTCGTACATTTAGTTTGTTTATAACAGCTTTTTGATAAGGACGTTTAGTTTGGGAAGGTTAGCCAAATGTGTTACGTTTCCCACACATGTTCTCACGTTCGTGTGATTTAAGATTGAGACGTGTCAATTAGCTATCTTTGACGTTTATCGACCGCCGAATTCTCAGGGTAAAGTTAACCGAGTTCGTGTCAGCTGATCGTAAATTACTGAGGAATTGGGATCAAATCCAAGGAAACCGGATCTTGTTCGAGTTTGCGGGGTTCTACCTTAGATCACAGATGACGTCAAAAGGTGGTAGAACAAAAAGGTGACATTGCTGTTCTTACCTGATTTTGACGTCTTATGTGAATGTACAGACCTAAGGCAACATGGAATCTACTTGTTTTATTTGATAAAAAGGCGAAATGTTGTTCAGTAGATCATGAGTAAAAAACCAATGAAAATGCATGTATAATCCAGCTTATCATATAACAGTCAATACTATAAATCTACTAGCATTCTATCACAAATGCTGTAATCTCATTGGTTTCGCTACTCGCCATCTATTCCGTGATTGATAGCGATTAAAGTGAGGAGTGAGAGGAGATGTGCGGTAGCAAACTTTTTTTCATCACTTAGGGGAGAACTCTAGTCTGATGTTTTTCTAAGATTTTCTTAACATGTTTATTTAATATCCTTTTGTAACTACTTACAGGTGAATTTTAATGAGTAGTAATGAGGTTGTTCACACAATGTTTTTTTATACTCTAGGAAAAATATCCGGGATTGTTTTCTCGTGCCCGTGGTGTAGGAACATTCTGTGCAATCGATTGCGCCGATGCAGATACTAGAGCAGAATTTCTTTCAAAGATGAAAGCCAATGGTTTGTATCCAAGTCACGGAAGGGGGCGGCTTGAAAAGGGTTCTATGGGTGCGTTTGACTTTCCCGCCCTCCCTCACTCCCTCTTTCTCGAAGAAAGCTACCTGGCAACCCTCTAAATTTGACAGAAACGTTATATTGGGACCCCTCTACTAAGAAATCCTGCTGACACATTCGTGACGAAATACTCTCAAAAATAAAAAAATTAATTGAAAGTTCGATACAAGGGTAAAATTGGACGTGGATTGTTGAAATTGGACGTGGATTATTGAAATTGGACGTGGATTGTTGAAATTGGACGTGGATTGTGTACCTTTGTTGATGGATTTTCTAGTGATATTATGTCCCATTATCACCTTCAATCAAAGGGAATTTCTCGCAAGTAAAGATAAACTTACATTATCCACATAGACGCGGACGCTTCCTCGAGATAGCTTTACATTTGGACAGCGGGTAGATTAGCATATTTGGTTTGAACTTTGAAATGATCAACTTAATTTACATTTGAACGAAATTCGTTAGAAGTGTGCTGCACCAGATCCAACCTGTCCTGGAGCTTGGGCACTTTAAAATTATTGAGTTTCTGAGGCTGTTGTCCTGATAGTTAAGACAGTGTTAAAATTTTTGTTAAGTAGGAAAGTTTCAGATTTCTTTGTATTTGATTGTCTTTATTCACAGAGAAACTGCAATCAGAATTTAACTATTGTTTCGTTTTTCCTTTCCGTCAGGTGTGGAGATGGGAGGTGGGAGTGGGGAAGTAAGCATCCGCTTCAGACCAACATTGACTTTTTCACAACGTCACGCAGATATTCTGTTTGAAGCAATGGACAAAGTGGCTTCCCAAATGCGATGATGTTGGATGTCGTTTACTCTCGAGTGAACCATACTTCTCTTTGAAATTTGTTTCAAGTGCAGTGATTTTTTTGAAGGAAATTTGTCAACGAACAAAGTTACTTTGATTTCCGGCATTTTTTTAATCTAAATTATGTTATGTCGCAATGACATTGTACCGATGCTATATAGAAGCAAGGTTAAAAATTCTATTCCATACCGCACTCTGTTAAATGGAGGTGAAAACTATGATTTCGTGGCCCTTTTGTGTTATATTAGGAGGTTACAGACTTGGAAGGTTCAGGAATACACCCCAGTGGCTACCTAAATCTAAGTGCACAACTCAGATTACCATTCGCAAATTTCTGACGTGTTTATTGGCTTTGTAGTAAGTTTTGCGACGTCGTCCTAAAGTCTTAAGGGATTTTCGTTATCAGAAGGACAAGCATGAATTAAGTGACTTTGAATTGCTCAAGCAGTAGTTTAGAAGTGGAGAATGTTCAGCTCTTGGACTGTTTAAACAATGCAACTGAACTCTCATTTGATTAAATAGGGTAAGTTTCTAAAGAAACTGTGGTGCTGCGTCGGTGGGAGAGTAAAACAGGGTAATTTAGTATTATCAACTGAGTTGATAGCGTAATTGACTAATTGGTTAAGGGGTCTAGCGACTGGTTTGGATGCGTCCATCTTTCTTCATCGCGAGGGTGTTCTCGGAATCGGTCACCAAGTCGTCTTCGTGTTTCACCAATGTCTGAGTTTCTGCAATAAGTGCAAGTTAAGCAGTAGATGACAATAGGGAACTTAAGATCCGAGGACGCCGGATGTCTACGACGAGGGGGGACTGGGAAGAGGCTGCCGTCGCAAGGCGTGAAAAATCCTTAAGAGACCAAGTCGAAGGCGGGGGCGGCATTGTTTATATATTTTCGATTTTTATCATAAATTACTTCAGTCATGGCTTCCTTTAGAGAGATGCGTAGCATTCTTCTGCAAAGTTTTGATGATGGCTGTATATCAGAGGACAAGTTCCTCCTTCTTTATGACGTTAACACATCCAAAAACCCAGATTTTCCTTATGAAAGTTATAGGAAATTTGGCCTTAATGATATGGATGACAGTGAGTGTTTATACGAGTTTCGTTTTCGTAAGAGTGACCTTCACGTCCTCTCTGAGGCCCTAAATCTTCCTAACTACTTAATGTGTCAAGAAGGAACAATATGCGATGGAGTTGAAGGGTTGTGTATCGCACTTCGAAGGTTTGCATACTCATGTAGACTCAGTGATTCAATTCGACGATTCGGCTGCCCAGTTCCAGAGCTAAGTATGATTTCCAGCCTTGTGGTGGATACAGTTTATCAGGAACACAATCACAGAATACCTCAGTGGAATGATACACTCCTCAACCCAGCACTTCTAGAAATGTACGCTCGTGCAATTCAGCAAAACGGTAGTCCTTTACACAACTGTTTCGGTTTTATAGACGGAACAGTACGGCCAATTTGTCGACCTGACCAAAAACAAAGGATTGTGTACAATGGACATAAGCGAGTATGGTCTAAAATACCAACCTGTGGCACTACCCAACGGTATGATAGCCAACATGTATGGCCCAGTAAGTAACTTTATAATTGAAGTAATAAATCTGTTTGGTTGAATTTTAAAATTTCATGCCAACCATAAACTACAATATCACTTATGTTGATCTCATTTTAGAGGGGAGAAGGCATAATTCAGCCATGTTGGCCGATTCTAGTCTTCTTGATGAACTCGAGCAACATGCTTTCTCAACAACAAGAGAACCAATGGCTCTCCATGGCGACCCGGCCTATCCTCTGCGTGTTTACCTCCAGGTACCTTACAGAGGTGCAGAAATTACACCACAAACGGAGCTACACAACAAAGCCATGAGTTCCGTTCGCATGTCTGTCGAGTGGCTTTTCCGTGACATTGTAAATTATTAGATTACTAGAGGTTTTATGATAATTTGAGACTGCTGCTGCTGCATTAGCGTGAACATCTTCTGAAATTTTTGCATTTGTTCTTGTTGCTGTTTAGTTTGCTGCTGCATGACCTGCATCAAATCCTGTTGCTCTTTGGACTGCTCCTCCTTCTTACTTTCAGCCTCTAATCGCTGATTCTGTAGCTGCATTTCTTCCATTTTCCATTTCTACATGAGATCGTTCTTTTCTCGCAAATATGCCACCATGTCACTGCCACTTCTTCGACGTTTTGCTCTTGCTACTGTTTCATTCTCTAACTCATCTTTTCTTTGTCTTTTCTGTGTCCCGCCAAGGTTCTCTAGAGCTCTGTATCTCATTTCCGCTGCTTTGGCACTATCGACTTTCTTTTTGTCATTTTGCGCTGTTTCTTCAACCACAGCTTCTTTTTCTACTATCTCCTCAAGTGCTTTTTCAACGTCACTCAAATCTGTATCTATTCCACTTGCCTTTTCTTCATCTCGCATCTTTGCTCTAAATTTGTCGCTCAAAGGAGTTCATCGTTCTCTAACAGATCGCTTCGTCACTCTGAGTTGGGGATGTTGAAGGCTGTTCAGATTGTTCGCTATTTTATCCCAAATTTGGCCCCTTGCAATGCTTCCTTTCTTTGCCTTGAATGGTTCAAGAACGAGAATCTCCTGACAAAGAATATTGTCATGTTGTTCAGTCCACTCCATGTTGGTTCTAAAGATAAAAGTCAAATGTTAACGCTTATTTTCTTTTTGTTTGTGTTGCATGTTGTTTTTTTTTTTACTGCAGAAAAAACCCTTTTTTGTTCACCAAATATGCAAGGCACTTTCACTTTCAGAGAGGTTATCAATTATTAAGCGTGGAAGCGTAATTTGTGTTGAGTTTCACCACATTCATTGCTAATAACGTGAAGAAAAGAGAATGAGAGAACTTACTGAGCAATCTTCTTGGCACTCGTGTCGGCTGCAACCATGACCTGTTTAGTGGAAAAGGAAAAAAACATGTTTTTTCTCGAAAATTAGGTCCCAGAAGAGTAGGCAAACGAATTAAAAATATTTTTGACTCCATAATGCGCAAAATATTCGAAAATTTTAAAAGATATTTTATAAAAACACTGTAATCAACTCACATTTTGTACGAAACGGCAAACTAGTTGTTTTGACGTCGCAGACAACACAGCTACGGCTGGAATTTACGGGGAACGGCTACCGAAAGTAGGTAAACACGCATTCAAACTTCCGCCCGCCGTCGTAGACATCCGCCGTCCTCGGATCTTAAGGTCCCTACTACTACCCGCTTAAGTATTTTGTTTTTGGCGGGCACGACGGGACTCATCCCAGTCTTACTCTTCTATTGCCGTCGCCGTTCTAGCTTCCGTCCTGGTATCTTAAGTAGTTCCCTAATGGCGGAGGTGCAAGTGAAGTGATCAGTGATCTTGATCCTTTAACTCCCAGACCAAATTTGTACTTCTCCTCACTGTGAACCATACAATTCTTATGATGCTAGTTACGAGAATTTAGTATTGGATCAACTAATTATCCCCAAATCGATAGTATTCTTTATTCTCATCACTTGACTAGTCGATATTGTATTAATATCGTAAGGAGAAATTCACTCATGGGAGTTACAGGGTTAATGGATCTCTTGGGTCCCGACATTTTCTCTACGTTATGAATGAAAGGGCAAGTTTTGCATTGGGAGCGAGTGCATTTGAAATTTCTAGGTTGGTCATTGGTTTGAAATAACTTCTGACCAAAAGGTTACCAATATTTTGTTACTTTTGAATGAAATTAGAGGAGGTTGCGAAGTGATAGTATTGAATTGTTTAGAAGTAATTTAAAGTTTTTAAGAATGATAGATTTAACTGCGGGGTTGTGAGGGTCAAATGTGGGAGTGAATGGAATGCAATCAGTATTTTCCTTCTCGGGCGTTTGTGGTGCTGACTGTCGATCAGTTTGTTGGTAGTGGCCCGCTTGAACGACAGAAATAGGGAAGCCACGTTCATCGAAAAACTGGCTCATTGCCTCTGACTTTTCCGAAAAATCAGAGTCGTCACTACGTTAACGACGAAGTCTGAGAAACTGTGAGAAAGGTACGGAATTCTTAACGTGTGATGGGTGCGAAGATGAATACAACAAATAGCTGTGTGAATCTGTAGGTTTGTAGTAAACATTAGGGCATAGACCGTTGTCTTCAAGCGAAATCTTGACGTCTAGAAAAGCTAAAGAAATGTCGGAAATTCCCAGGTATATTTTAGAGCCGGGTGAAAGGAACTGACGGCGGTTATAATTTAAGTAAGCTCTTCTCTGGTAGAGGAGATAGTAGCGATGCAGTCGTCAATGCAGCAACCGCAGAGTTCAGGTTTGCGGCTGTTGTAAAGAATGGAGAATTGGTGTTCGATAAACCTAACAAAAAGATTGGCGTAGCTGGGTCTCATTTCAGTACCCATGGCTACGTCATTAATTTGTTTGTAGTAGGTGACACCGAATGAAAAGCGACTGAGAGATAGTACTGGCTCGGCTTGACAGAGTAGTGTTTCAGAGCTAGGTTCCTTAACAGTGCGTTTATCGAAAAAATGTTTGAGGGTCCGGAGACCTTCATCATTGAGAATGACAGTATAAAGAGAAGTGATATCCATGGTGAAAAGAAGTTTGTTTTGGCTTTTCTTTCAGTCACGATTGTGGTGCAAGACAATTCTCAAACAGAGAATTCAGTTGTGTGTGGTACTCAGTTTATAGACCAATCATAGAACATGGTAAGGCAAAATAGATGTACACTTTTAGGTGTATGTTAGTCTTCATTTACTGAACATTCTTCCATTAGTTTCAAACACCAGGAATCTCAACTGAAATCAACCCTTAGAACAACACAGCAGATTTTTAGGGGAAAACCGTACCTGCTCAATTATACATTCGTGGCGTTACATTCATACTAAACTGTTGATCAGTTTACCCCCAGTAATTAGCACATTTGACTTGTCTTGCAGAATTTTTTTTTTAAATCCATTAGAAATAACTTCCCATGTATATTGACATGATAGCTTAAATACTTCATTACATCAGCAGAGCCTTTGTCAAAATAAAACAAAGAAAGAGCCACTTAAATTGAACCCTCCCCTTCTCATAATTTTCATTTACCCTTCCACCACTATTGAATAGACAATGAAATGACAAGAAATTACTCAAGTTTATTTACTGAGCAGCATACATAAAACTTGATTTACCAATCAAACTGAGAGCCTATAGAACACCAAACAACTCAAATTAAAACAAATGAGAAGCAATAGAGGTGGGAAGCCTCCAATGTAATTTCACAAAGCACATAGTCATCCGATCTCCTCTCCATTTGGTAGAATACTGTAATATAGAAATTATCATTAAAAAGGTGGTTTACTTTAAGTTGCTTCAAACACAACAATGAACAAAACAAAAGACAATTCACAGGAAAAGCAGTCAGTTTCAGTAGACAGTGAAATCCATTTACATCTGAGTGCTGGGCTTGGCTGAGTACCTTGCTCGTGTTAATGTATATCTAGTGCCTTGGATATGAACTCTACGGCATCTTCTACAGTGAAAACCTTTTCAGCCTCTTCATCAGAAATTTCAATACCTAAAGAGAATAATGCAAAAAATTAATTGTCCAATTTAAGTACTCAGTAGTCAGACTACAATCATCTTCTGGTGAATCAGTCAAACACTGCCATAATCAGAATCTTACACAATGATCACTAGTTAACATTTTTCACAGAAGCAATTTTCTCACAAACTGTCTAAAGTTAACTTGTGTGGTCAAGAGGTCAAAAACTATCAAGCTATGTCAACTTTTTACTTTAATAACAGCAAAAGTAGCTTGTCCACATCCTAGGATTTCACACTGTACCCACAACACATTTTTGTTTTCTTAATTACAGATCATAAAAAACTACTTTAAGGGGTTTCTTAGCTCAGTGATGCACAATGAAACCAATTTCTACTACTGTTGAACACTAGCCTGCCAGCAGTTCCTCATTATTAGTGCTGCATGATGCACATCTCTTCCCCAGCTGGAAGATTTGAGACAAGTTTAGGAGAGGTTTAGAAGGGGTCTGGCTCCAATAATGAAAGCCTGCAAGGATACTAGGGCTCTTTTCATGCTATATTTGTTATTAAAGCAAAATTTCTCACCAAATTCATCTTCCAGTGCCATGACAATCTCCACTACATCCAAACTGTCCAAACCAAGATCGTTGACAAAGTGACTCTTACTCGAAACCTGTACAAAAGAAAACGGCAAAAAAATAGAGTTAAAAAAGGAAGTAAGATTTTTTTTCCTTTCAAAGTGTTGCCCACATAATACAACTAAGGATGATCACATGTCAAGCTATGTCAACACCCATACCACTGGAAATAACAACCACCAACAGAAACACAGAGGCATTCTGTGGAGGCCCAGGAGACTCTCAGCAGAAACAAATTTTGTCTGTGACAGGCCTCTGTTCAATTTGCTAGCCAGCAATTTAGATTTCAATTTTTTCTTTCCCTTGTTTTTTTTTTTGTTTTTTTGTTTTTTGTTATTCTAACTCAAAAGTGGCTTAAGCAAGCAATGACAGAATACGTTAAAGGTTGCTGGTTGGGTGTGAGCAGCAAAAATTGCTCCCTCCACAATTCTTAAATAAATTTAGTAAATTTTTTTGCCATTCCGGTATATTTCACTTACAGCCAGGCTCCTTTTTCACCATTACCTTGACCCTCTTCACCTTCTTATCTCTCCCCATACACTACCTAGTTTTGAGCACAGACAGGTGACGAAGATCACCATATGCAATCAGGAAATGCTAACGCAATTGAAATTCAAGAACTACATACAAGATTTTTTGTCATGAAAACATAATTGCCGTGGCATTTATGGTGGCATGTTATACTTGGCTAGTCATTCTTTAGCATGCTAAACAATTCAATTCAAAAAATAAGTTCTTGACGATAAAATGAGTTCCTTTCAATATTTCACAACAATTTTTCTTGGAAAATGTCATTAACATTTCAATGCTCAGTTTGACATGTCAAATATTTTTGAAAATTTAGCCCTTGAGGGTCCACCATATCTGAAAGGGTTAAAACTGGTAAGTAAATAACATTACCATCTTTTAGTCCAATAATCAGGAAATGGACTAAAGGTACGCGCTTCCAAATCAATTTTCAAGTTGCTCTTGGCGAAAATACTTCTGTAAGATCAAACCGACATAATTTCAATAAAATGCAAAATATTCACCTTTTCAGGATTCACTTTGTCAAAAAGTTTTAAAACATCCATCGCCCGTGTCTGAATTTCGTCTCTTGTCAATGCCGTTCCTGCGTCAGCGAACATGCGAACACCCACAAGAGCAGGTCGCATTTTTTCAAAGGAGTTACTCCCAGGAAATGTACTCTGCAGGTGTTTGTTAGAAGCAAAGATTATTCGTGGTAAAGAGCAAACAAGGCGTGTGTGCCGTCCCCTTGACAAAGAGTGACAAAAGAGACCTCTACCAAGACGTCGACACATGTTGGTCGCCATTTTCAGTTCTATGACAACTACCTTGATGAATTGTGGGAATATCAATCGACATTAGTCAGGCAGGTACGTCATGTATGGGTAATCACTATGTCCACAATACATATTATGTTCAGTACTTTACATAAATATAATGTCCTATACTTTACATGTAATACCACACACATACAACCATACACAGCTATACAGCGCAATACAGAGCTATAAACAGCGATACAGGGCTATAAACAGCTATATACAGCTATACACAGCGAAACAGAGCTGTAGCAGGTAATTTAGTGTTAACAACTAGGTTGAAAACGTAAATTAGCCACCGTAAAGGGTAAAAAAGCTGACGTTTCGAGCGTTAGCCCTCCGTCGGAGCGATTAGAGGAATTGTGGGTTGTGTGTGGATTTATATGTAGAAAGTGGAGCTACGCCACTGGTGGGAATATGGTGACGAGAAAACAGGAATAATGGCGTGGCGTGGCGTGGCGTGGCGTGGCGTGGCCATGGGTACTAAAATGGGACCCAGCTACGCCAATCTTTTTGTAGGTTTTATCGAACATCAATTTTTTAGCCAATACCACGGCCCAAAACCTCAACTCTACGGCCGCTACATTGACGATTGCATCGGCGCTACCTCCTCTACCAAAGAGGAGCTCGCTCAATTTATAACCGCCGTCAATTCCTTTCATCCGGCTCTTAAATATACCTGGGAAATTTCCGACACTTCTTTGACTTTTCTAGACATCAAAATTTCAATTGAAGGCAACGGCTTATGTACTAGTGTTTACTACAAACCTACAGATTCACATAGTTACTTGTTGTATTCATCCTCACATCCATCACACGTCAAGAACTCCATACCTTTTTCACAGTTTCTCAGACTTCGTCGTTTATGTGGTGACGACTCTGATTTTTCCGAAAAATCAGAGGCAATGTGCCAGTTTTTCGATAAACGCGGCTATCCCGTTTCTGTCGTTCAAGCGGGCTACCACCGTGCCCAACAAATCGATCGACAGGCAGTACTACAAACGGCCGAGAAGGAGAACACTGACCGCATTCCATTTACTCTTACATTTCACCCTCACAACCACGCAGTTAAATCTATCATTCTTAAAAATTTTAAATTCAGAGACTGGCGCTATCTTTTCGCAACCCCCACTTATTTCATTCAAACGTGACAAAAACATAGGCAACTTTTTAGTCAGGAGTTCATTTCAAACCAATGACCAATCTGGAACTTTTAAATGCGCCCGCTCACGATGCAAAACTTGCGCTTTCATTCATAACGTAGAGAAAATATCGGGACCCAAAAGATCTATTAAGATCATTGATCACTTTACGTGTACCTCCGCCAATGTTATTTACTGCATAACTTGCACTTATTGCAATAAGTTATACATCGGCGAAACAGGAAGACGACTGGGTGACCGATTCCGAGAACACCTTCGCGATGTGGAAAGAAATGACAAGGACGCATCCAAACCAGTCCCTAGACACTTTAATCTTCCTAATCATTCTAAACAGCATATGGCAGTTTGCGGCCTTTCCTTACATCTAGGCAGTTCGGAAAGCCGTAAAACACTAGAACAAAAATTTATATTCCAAATCGGCACCCTTAATCCCCACAGAATCAACGAGCGCTTTTCATTCAACTAATTTATTCCTGTTTTCTCGTCACCATATTCCCACCAATGGCGTAGCTCCACTTTCTACGTATAAATCCACACACAACCCACAATTCCTCTAATCGCTCCAACGAAGGGCTAACGCTCGAAACGTCAGCTTTTTTACCCTTTACGGTGGCTAATTTACGTTTTCAACCCAGTTGTTAACACTAAATTACCTGCTATACTCTCCCACCGACGCAGCACCACAGTTTCTTTAGAAACTTACCCCTTTAAACAGAGCTATAGACAGCTATACAGGGCCGTATAAGGCAATACACAGCTATAAAGACCAATACAGAGCTATACACAACTATACAAAGCTGTAAACAGCTATAAAGAAATATAAACAGCTATACAAGGCTATAAAGGGCTATAAAAAACTATACAGAGCTATACACAGCCACACAGAGATATACACAGCTATACAGGGCAATAAACAGCTATACACAGCTAAACACAGCTATACAAGGCTGTACACACCTATACAAGGCTATACACAGCTATACAGGGCTATACACAGCAATACAAAGCTATACAAAGATAAACAGAGCTCTACACACCTATACAGGGCTATTCATAGCTATACAGGGCTATACAAAGCTATACAGGGCTATATACGGCTAAACAGAGCTATATACACCTATACAGAACTATACATAGCTATACAGGGCTAAACATAGCTATACAGGGCTAAACATAGCTATACAGAGCTATACGCAGCTAAACAGAGCTATACACATCTACACAGAAATATATGCAGCTATAAACGGCTATACACAGCTAAACAGAACTTTACACAGTTATACAGAGATATACCCAGCTATACAGGGCAATACGTAGCTATAAAGGTTATACACAGCTAGACAGAGCTGAACCCAGTTATACAAGGCTATACACAGCTATACAGGGCTATACCCAGCTATGCACGGCTTTACAGGGCTATACATTGATATACAGGGTTATACACAGCTATAAAGGTCTATACACAGCTATACACGGCTGTACAGGGAGGGCTACACACAGCAATACAGAGCTATACACAGATAAACAGAGGTATACACACCTATACAGGGTTATACAGGGCTATACACAGCCATACCCAGCTAGAGAGAGCTATACATACCTGTGCAAGGCTATTCACACCTATACAGAGCTATGCACAACTATAAAGAGATATACACAGCTATACATGGCTATACAGGGCTATACACAGCTATACAGAGCTAAGCACAGCTATACAAGGCTATGCACAGCTATACAGTGCTATACCCAGCTATACATGGCTGTACAGGGCAATACACAACTATACAGGGCAATACACAGCTATACAGGGCAATACACAGCTATACAGGGCTATACACAGCTAAAAAGAGCTAAACACAGCTATACGGGGCTATACCCAGCTATGCACGGCTTTACAGGGCTATACATAGATATACAGGGTCATACACAGCTATGAAAGGCTATACACAGTTATACACGGCTGCACAGGGATATAGACAGCTATACAGGGCTTTACACAGCAATACAGAGCTATACACAGATAAACAGAGGTATACACACATATACAGGACTATATGCAGCTATACACAGCTATATGCAGCTAAACAGAGCTATACACACCTGTGCAGGGTTATACACACCTATACAGAGCTATGCACAACTATAAAGAGATATACACAGCTATACACGGCTATACAGGGCTATACACAGCTATACAGAACTAAGCACAGCTATACAAGGCTATGCACAGCTATACAGGGCGATACCCAGCTATACATGGCTGAACAGGACAATACACAGCTATACAGGGCAATACACAGCTATACAGGGTTATACACAGCTAGACAGAGCTAAAAACAGCTATACAAGGCTATACACAGCTATACACGGCTTTACAGGGCTATACATAGCTATACAAGGTTATACACAGCAATACAGGACTATTCACAGATAAACAGAGCTATACACATATATAAAGGGCTATACATAGCTATACAGAGCTATACGCAACTAAACAGAGCTCAACACACCTATACAGGGCTATACATAGCTATACAGGGCTATACACAGCTATACAATACAATACAATACCTTTATTTGAAATGCAAAATAGTGGATCAGATAGACTAAAAAGACTATCTGGTATTAACCCATGTGTATATATACGGTATAAAATCTGTATGTAATAAAATAATAATAAATACATAAAAAAGGTCTAAAAATATCATGATACAAAATAGTAAAAATAAGAAATTATAAGAATAAATAAATTATAACATAGTCCTTAAAGTATATATAACATATTTGTTATGAACATTGTATTAATGAAAAAAATAATAATAATTCAACTAGTTAGTTAAGCCAAAGAGCATTTATGTTGATCGTGATCCTCTTGTAATAAAGATTCAAATAGTTTACTTTTAAAGGTGCTGAGATTTGTTATAGTTCTGATATCCCTAGGTAGAGAGTTCCAGTCTCTTACAGCAGCGGATTCCGAAAACCCGACTTAGCATTAGGAACATTCAGTAAAGAGTCATCTCTCAAAGAGTGAGAGCGAATACTAGATCGTTTTATAAGTTTGTCTTCAAGTTGCTTTAGAAAGTTAATATCATTCACTATTTTAAATGTAGTTATAAATCGCAACAAACGTCTACGGTTGAATAGAGTCAAGATCTTTACTTGGCTATGCAGAGCTATACGCAGCTAAACAGAGGTATATACACCTGTGCAGGACTATACACATTTGATTCCCTTCGTGGCCAATGGCGTAGCCGGCCGATGGGCCCGTAGGCCTACGTTCTACATTCCGAGCCGCCATTTCCTACGGGGAACGGATAAGCCACCTACGCGATACATTGGGTTCGTTAAAATTTTTGTCTTGAAAATAATGAAACTAGAAGTGGATCTTACAACATCGTGCAACATTTTGCAAAACAACAAAAACAAAAATCATAATATTATGACCCTAATCCTAACCATATCACCCAACCTTAATCCTAACCCTAACCTCAACCCTAACCCATCATGATATCGCGTAGGCCTCACGGACTTTCACTTTTAGACCCTTATTGCAGAAGTTATAATTGAAGATGTTAGGGCCGGATGTACATTACACTCTGATAACATCTACCAAAGGCCAGAACCGTGGGACTTGGTGGGGTGGTAGACTTTTAGATGGTGTTGCAGTACCCGTAAATGCCAACAATGGAACGTAAAATTTCTTAATTAGAAATGATCTTACAGAAAGGTAAATCGGTACAACGAAATGGATAATC